TTGTGGTTTGACGCCATTTTAATTTATGCGCACGTGATTAGCATGAATATGATTAACATAACCACATAATCATAACAGAAAGTAATTTTATAATTTAAGAAAAAAGAATGGAAACAAGTAAATAAAAAACATTAAAAATGGAAAAGTAGTAGGATTAAATTGTAAAAAAGTAAAGAAACAAGAGGGTACTTGCAAAGTGGTGTGATAACAAATCCTACACCATTGCATGAAAGACATGGCTTCATAGTTTATCATGTAGTAGCCTGTGTGGATAATTACAATGCTTTTGGGTAATATCTTTCATGCAGTGGTGTAGGATTTGTTATCACACCACTTTGCAAGTACCCTCTTGTTTCTTTACTTTTTTACAATTTAATCCTACTACTTTTCCATTTTTAATGTTTTTTATTTACTTGTTATAGTATAGGCTTAAACTTAAATCTGCGACAGGTCAGAATAAATGCTAAGAAGGGGCATGTATGCATGTACCATGAATATATACTGATGCTTAAACAGTGCACACATACAATACTGCATACTGCATAGAGTGGGGAAAACTGATGAACTTTTAATTTGCAATTGCTCAATGACAAATTTGCCAAATTTAAAACCACCAAGGACCCAGTTACTTAAAATCTCAGACTAAACTTATGTGTCAAGTTTTTAGCTACACTAAAGGTCATAACTATGGGCTATCGAAAAGTTGCTCTATGCACAAATTGAGGAGGTGAAGAGACACAATTTCTATTAAGCACAAGGTCATAATTATGATGTTGATATCTTGGATATTGTTGGCAAGGCAATTGTTTTTTTTTATCTTTTTCCTGCATATTTCACATTATAGAGTTCTTGAATGGATGTAGGATCTAAATTGTTTGCCATGTTGGGTGACAAGAAATTAACATATAGATGAAAATTTGGCAGAGAATTAAATTTGGTGCATTGGCAGTTCAAAATAAAACTGCCAATATTATAACCGTTAATAATAATTGCAATGATGGGTGGATCCCATCAGGAGCACATGATGATACTAAAAATGCCAAAATGGCAGAATTTCCAAGTATTTCTCACTATTTCAGTCAAGACTATGGGCAAAGACTGCCAAGGAGAAGCTTCAAGAAGAGCTGACATTGCTTAAAGAAAATAAAAGATAGTACACCACCAAATTATGAGACCGCCAATATTATATTTAGGTAATTTGATGCAAAACTGCTGAAGTTTAGACCGCCAAATTTTCCGGCTATACAGCACATGCACATGCAATGAATGTACATAATAGAAACAAAATGGGATTGTTTACTGAAGATACATCATATTTGGCAGCAGAATATAACAGAGTCCTGCACTCAACACCTTCATCTCCTACCTTTCTCTAATGTGAAATGGAATTTTTCTCCATTCCACTATGTACATTCTTGCCACCCAAAACGGCCAAATATTAAGCTCCACCCCCTTTAATTAATTCAATACAAGAGCTCTATTGGAAGTATTTTTGATTGTAAAATCCAAGTACACTACAGTGTGTGCAAAAGCTAGAAACTACTAGAACAAAGACCTTTGCATTGTTTACATTGTTAATAAATTTAAAACAGGATGCAAGGGGGTATCACTTGATACTGTATAGCACTTTAATTTGGCGGAGTTCTATTTTGGCAATTGGCAGTTTGGAAGCAAAATCGCCCATATTACAACAGCCAATCATTAATGCGCATGCTCAGTAATGCATGTGGCCACAAAATTTTCCAATTAAAAACCGCCAATTACAATATTACAGCAAAATCACCAAAATAAAGAGCCGCCAATATAAAGCACTATATGGTATGGTTTTATAACTAGGACAAAGATAAATCAAGTGACAAATTCAGATACTAATCATGACATCAAAGGTTGTTGTGGAAGATAATCAAGAGATAACAAAGCTCAGTCCTTTTCTGTGAATTCTTATTTTTAGCTGTCCATGTTTATTATTAGCCATATACCTTATATCCTTAAATAGAAGCCACATTCGAATAAACGCCGGGGTAGCAATAGAATTCAACTATAAATATGCAACAGTAGTCCAGGAGTAAGTCAGTAGTCTAGTGAATAATGCCTGAAGTTCCAAAGTCAAAAGCATCAGGTCACGGGTTCAAATCCCGCTCTGGGCCAAAGTTTTCTTTATTTTTTATATATTTTTTCAAGATCTAAATACCATTTTAGGAAATAGACGCCTGGGCTTTTATTTAAGGAAATACGGTATCTATATTCCGTTTTTAACTACCAAATCTGTTTATACATGTACATTACGCCATATACTTCAATCATCTTCATCCCAGTTGCAAACATTAGTACAGGTTTTATGCAGGTGACATTCCACTTTAATGAAGAACCCACCACCTTAATGCTCAGTTTCATCAGAGATATTCAATTTATTTTAAATGTGATGTGTGGGATGGCAGTACTCACTGTCGTAGAGCTCTTTGGTATAATATTTGAGCTCGGGCTAGCTTTCATTTTCTTACTAGTACTTCCTCGTGAAGAAGATTCAAAGTCAATTACTTCATCGTCCATTTTAGGTCGCTTTATTTGTCTCTGAGACGTCCTTATGGGAGGAGCAGAGCCAACAGTTTCAGTTTTTGTCAACTTCGCGGTAGTACTTCCTTTCTTCATTGCATTTGAATATACTTTCTTCACTGTTTCTTCTTTCTTCGAGGATAAATCATAAGTATCAGGGACTCCAGGTGAGAAACTATGAGACTCCATCTTTTGTCAACCGCACCCTAGCTAGCCTTGCCTTCTTGTGCCGTCACTGCCGTGACGTAAGAATGCATGCTCAGCTGCTTAGACAATCAACTTTGACTCACCTGATTTTTTGTAGATCTAAATAATTATCATCATGACCTTAGTAGACACGGACTGTATAGTGGAACTAGAAATGGCTGATTTGAAGGAGAGCCCCAGGTTTCCTCGTAGAATGCTTTCTACAGGTATTATTCCCAATGTGTGTACTGTGTACCTATATTCATAATATACATGTACATGTATATGCATTCTACACTAACATTCATAGTCATAATACTTTTTAATTTTTCATCATAACGCCAGGCAGCATGTACATTTACCGACATTTTTTGTACATCTACACGTATATCACGTGTCATGTGTTTAAGACATAGTGTCGTCTGATTGTGTGGTACCAAAATATATATATAATATCTACGCATTTTTTAGTTTTTGTAGTTAAAAGAAGGGACACAAAATATTGAATTTTCAGAGTGTTGACTGTTGATGTATTTACACGTACATTCAATATATGGTTCACAAACATTTCATCCATGAATTTTAAATATTAAGTTAAAAAAGCAAACTCTAAATGTTTGCCCCATAGATTTTACTAGTCTACCTACCATATATGACACTAGAACAGCAACTGAAAGAGAAGGCCTTGATTCAAATCTAGCTAGCTTTCCCTAGACTATTCAAGTATCTGGTACCGTATAGCTAGAAATTTCTATTGCCCAAAATTTGTGCTAATATTGCAGATTTGGAAAAATCGCAGGTATTTTATCCTCAAAATTTGGTAAACAATTTATTGGCCAATTTAAAGTAAAAGGCATAGTAAAGTTGCACAAATAAAATCCGCAAAAGCCATGTCGTGTGAAAATACAGCCTCCAAAAATGTAGACTGGAACAGCATGATAGGCCTCACTAAAACAAACAAGTACCGTATAGCTAAAAAGTTCTGGCCCAAATATTTTGCAAATTTATGTGTGCATTATCATTATACTGCATACTGCATAGCATCGTATTTCTATTTAATGCCTGTGTTTAGGAGGTTCATTTCATAAAGTTTATGCAATACTTGCATGTACCCTTCCTAAATAACCACTTCCATTTAGTTTTTCCCAACATACACTGTAGCTTAAAGCCTTTAGAGCGACAGTTTATATAGGCACAATGTTTATGTACATGTAGCTAACCATTAAGAAAAACTTGCCTTTCACTGCATTCAATTTTATATGTCATATCAATTGCTTTGCATGAAATAATGAATTCATCCTGACGCTGAAAGATATCTTTTTTCGAATCCAGCTTTTTATTAGTGAGTTTTCATACTTCGTGGCAGGTAGTGGCAATCTTTGATTTGTAAATTACTGATCACCTTGTTAATCATTTAGCTAAATTAATTTTTGTCTATAAATTACTACAGTATAAACGTACATGTATCTAATCTACTTTTATATTATTCTCTGTCATAACTGTGTAACATGTATTTTAAAAGCAGATTTACATTTTAAAAGTGTACGTTGTATGTTCATATTGGTTAATCATGTGAGGCAAAAAGTAAAATATTTTTAAGTTGAATTAAGTATTGAAGAAAATGATATAAATAGTAAAGATACCATTTGCACATCTGTTTTAATGACCAAGAGTAGATGACAGAACTTTGTAACTTAATTGTAAATGTACTTTTTGTTAATTTTACTAATTACCTGAGCCATGCGTAGGCGTAATGCGAGGGTAAAATGGTCATCCTGTCTCTGTATGTGTTCTCTTGAAATTGGTTTTTGAGCCAACACTGCTTTCTTGTCTAGTTCTGGGGGCTGGAAAAAGTTATTCCCCATCAATTGCTTTTCCATGGAAAAAGAAGCTGGCAGTATAGCCAAGTGTAGTTTATTCCTTTATACTTTATAGCTCTTTCGTAGTTAAAAAGGCCAGCAGGATACATTAAACAATTAAACAAAACCTCGTCTTTCATTAATATGAAAGGAATTGCCCCAATCATTTTCGTTTTTAAGATATGATAACCCAAACAATCATACTTTGTGAGTTTACACGAAGCTCTCTTCTCCAAAATTAGCGACCAGAGTCTTTAAGTATCTGGGACTCAATGAAAGTTTGTATGCAATAAACAGAGCCTAACAAATGTATGCTAAACTGTTTAACAGTCAAGAAAAACTAAAGCTTTTTTACCAATTAGCCCATGTACCACCATCAGTTGTACTGTGTGTGCTGGTGTAGCATGGCTTGATTGAGCCACACCTTCACATTTCTGCAGCAGTAGTGCAGATTTCTGAGGCTTTTTTTGTGTCTCCAAACTTCCACTAAGCTTCACTTAATCAGTTAAAGGGTAACTGCCAAATATTTTTGGGTATTTACATGTATTTTATAACCTGACCATAACAATGTGTTCCAACTCCCATTGTCCTAAAAAATTATTCGCTGAGATATGAGCCTTAAAAATTGCACTTTTTGCTTCCTGCCAATTTACTTCCTGTTGGTGGGTGTGGTTAAATGGACATAATTAAATGATAGATATTAGAGTGAATGAAAGGGATTGGAAACTTCCGTGTTGCTACATTGACTTTGTACATCGCTAGGCAATGGATGCGGGTTACCCCTTTTTCTTAGCAATGGCTGCCAACTTTTAGCAAGAAAGCGTCTTGTTTGTGACCTGTCAAAGGCTGTCATTAATCAGTAGTGTCATTGTTTGTCATGATTTATATGAGATAAAGTAGAGGAAACATGTCTCTATCCCCCAGACAACTTCTGTAGTGCATTCATCATTACTTACACTGATTTTTTGCTCTTAAATGACAGTGATTGCAACTACATTTTGTTTTGTACCTTTTTCTTGAAAGTATGAAACAAATGATAACAACTAATTCAATCATTCAATAGAGCATCACTAGGTGGAGGTTAGTGGAGGTCACCTACTTTGTTTCAATTGAAAATATGATTTCGTCTATCTGTAATGATCAATTTACTGTTAAGTTTGAGAGGTTTGTTTTGTACCCTTAACTTAAAAACTAAACGGTCTGTGACATCAACTATCACACTATTCTAATTGCTTAGAACATACTGAAGGTTACTGGCACACTTTCAATCATTATAGATTATAAATTACAGAAAATATACAATTAAACATGTAATATGGTGATTAATGATTGACAGTGCTGATTAACAATGAATTCCAACTGCAAACATCATGATTGCCACAGCAGACAACTTGGGCAAGTAGGAAGAGTGTCCCTCTACATTACTGAAGGGTTATCTGTACAAAATAAGACAATATGCAACCAAAAACTAATGAAATGCATGCCTACCTGCTTCACTTCTCCAGCCATTTTCAATTTTACATACGATTAATTAGAGCAAATTGGCTTAAAATTAATACGGTATAGGTACATTGTAACTAGCATTTCCAGCCGCGAACGGTAGTTTCAAATTCCTTTCATTTACTCTATTATCTATGATTAAATTCATAGATAATAGATTATAAAGGGATTGGAAACTGCATGGGCAGCCTGTATAAACTAATAGAGGGCGAAGTTATCACTTCCTGCATCCTAATTTCTCCTTAGCAATGGGAGAGGTCCACTTTTCTCTGTTCATAACTTAGTCCCAGTAGTTGCAAAAAATCAACAAAAATATGCATAAAATACCTTACTACTTCTATATTTATCAATCCAAATTTCATACAGTTACTCAAAAGTAACAAACTGTTTCATTCATTACTAACAGTGGATATCAAGCGGGACCTCTTTTCTGATGTTCTGTACCTTTCACTAAAATGTCTCTTGTTTTACAACAAAGTAACAAGCATAGGACAATCAAGCACTTTGAGTTGCATGTAACTAGGGTATTGTCAGACTTGTAGCTCATAGATCTTTTCCAGAAACTCAAATTTTGTGCTGTGAAAGTGACAAAGTTTTTGTACCTTTTTCTCCGAAACAATAAACATTTAAGCTAGGAAAGAAACACAGGGAACAGGTAATACATTGCTTTAGTTAACTGGCTAGTAATGGTATTGATATGTTCTTTTGTAATCCTATAAATTTGTCATTCTCTGGCAAGATTTGGCTCTTGTCCTTTGACTTTCACCATAGTAATTATTGAATGCAGAACATTAGAATTTATACAGTGATGACTATACTGCCTACGCAGTTACCAATCCCTTTATACTCTATTATCTATGATTAAATGTAGAAGTACATGTACATGTAGTTATGTTTGCAGATAACTTCATTTCTTTATAGGTGGCAATGATCCTTTATTCTCATGCTTTGTAATCTAATAGCACTATAATTTAAAGGTTGGGATCTTTAGCTCTCATTATTCTAAGCATGGAACTACAAGAAAACAATACAAAATAGAAAATAAAAGATTTACATCCTTGTGGAATTTTGACTTTTTCTTGCAATTGCATGCTTAGAATAATGAAAGCGAATGATCCCAATCTTTAAAATAGTGCTATTACATTACAAGGCATGAAAATAAAGGATCATTTCTCCTATGAAGGAATAGAGTTATCTGCAAACATTCCTACTATTGCGTCATGTTTAGCCACACCCACTGACAGGAAGTAAATTTCCAGGAGCGATTTTTGAAGGCTCATATCTCAGTTAATAACTTTTTTAGCACCATGGGAGTTGGAACACATTGTTATAGTCAGGTAATCATTATAAGACCATAAAAATACCAAAAAATACATTGCAGTTACCCTTAAAAACTGTTATATACTAATTGTGGCAAGGGTATGCACTTTAGTGCTCTCATTTTGCATTTTCATTATTCACAAAATTAAATTCCACAAAAGAGGTGTGGCACATTAGGAGAAATGGCTGCTGATGATAATTAAGATTCAGAAAAATTTATATCAACAAATGGTAAATCTGAACAAATTTGCAAAAATTTTACCAACAAAGTACCGTATAGTGGGAAATTTTGGAGGGAATTTAATTTGGTGAATTTGCCGTTTTGATAGCCATTCGCCAAAATAAAATCCGCCATTTTGAGCCTTTATACACATGCTCAATGGCACGTGGCCACTAATTTGCCAAATTAAAATCCGCCAATAACAAAAATTCAGCAATTCACCAAATTTTACTCCCTCCATAATTTCCCGCTATACGGTAAACCCTTCGGTATACATGTATTTCAGTTTTATCACTGGAACTACATGAATGTGTAATATTTTACAATTTACAAAATTATGAACTTTAATGTGCTGATTCTGATTTAAAGTTGAGGTCACTTTTCCAACAAGATATACCTGTAACTGTGATGTACATGTACATGTAACTGCATATGTGTAACTTGTGTATACTGCATTACATGACTTTCCATTTTACTTTGACAATAGAAGTCCCCAGTGATTCCAAGGGTCAAAAAGTATGTGATGACAAGCAGAGTTCAGCATATGTAGGTGTTTATAAGTTGCTTGTATATAACGATACTGCATGTACATGTAGGTACAAGCACAGGTTGACTCTCGACATCAGTTTGCTATGTCTCCTTGTATGACAGAAAATCCTGAGGCAACACACAGCAAGTCTTCAATAACCACGAAAGGTGGTGATGGAATTAGTAAAAGTGTTGACATTCACTCAAGTCGTGGTGGTCAGTTTTCAGTTGCCGCTAGGGATGCATCTTTGCTAGAGAGGATTGCTCACAAAGCAACTAAGGAGACACGTGTCTTAGAACCCCATGAAGTTTTTATTGAATTGGAAGAGCTACAATATGATTCTATGGAGAGTTTGGAATGGAAAGAAACTGCACGTTGGATTAAATTTGAGGAAGACGTTGAACAGGAAGTTGGTCGATGGGGACGTCCTCATGTATCTGCCCTAGCATTTCATTCCTTAGTTGACCTGCGGAAAGGGCTTGAAGAAGGTTCATACTGTGTTTGCAGTTTTCATAATGATTATTGTTTCATTTCAAACTTGTGTATAGGTTGTGTCCTGCTAGATGTGGAAGGAGATAATTATCCTTCCATTGTTGATGATTTAGTAGTTTATCTTGTTAAGCATAATTATCTTAGTGAAGACAGTGTTGATTACGTAGTTCAGGCTCTTTATATGAAGCACAAGTACTTACATTTTAATATTTTAAAAAATTAAGCTACTGTTTTCTCTGTTAATTAAGGCACCAACATGAGACTACTTTATGGAATAAATTGAGGCTTGCTGCAAAGACTGCTGATGGGAAACTGCATGATATTGGGAACCAACTGCGTCGTAGGTACATTATGTGGTCATTGTTGCTTGTCATTTACTGCAGCCATGGGTAGTAAAGGGTATGGATTGGAAACATGTAGTAGCGCTATTTAAAGGGCGTGTTTTAGGTGTTATGTAAACAATAAACAAAAAATTAATCAAACGGACATGTCGTGACCACACTCACCATGCAAATGCTAGTGCTACTGTTAGGAGCACTCCTGAGTACTTTCTTTCATCCATATCTAGGATAAAGAAGGAGATTTCAGAGAGTTACTTTTAGGTATGTTGTACTAATACATGAGAACAGGATGCTTTCATATTTAAGGAAATGAGCCTCTTATAACTTTTTTTTCAGGCTATAATACCTCGTTTGAGTGTTTTGTGTACCTCTGCCACTCATATTGGCTTTTCAGTTCAACCAAACCCGTCATCTACTGAATGGTACAACTATATGCTATAGTTTAGTATGCTTTTTGTATCTGCTATGATTTGTTGCTATAATATTGAGGTTGGATCAGTATCTGTCATTTTGTATCAAATAAAATGATACTATATTTAATAGCAGATGTACAAAAAGCATACTAAACTGTAGCATATAGTTGTACCATTCAGTAGATGACAAATTAACAATTAATTGTTAATTTGATTAATTAACAATGGTTTGATTATTTTTTGTTTATTGTTTACATAACACCTGAAATGCGCCTTATAATACAGCACTATTGCGTGTTTCCAATCCATACCCTCTACTATTCATGCTGCAGCTAATGCATACACACGTACATGTGTCTTTTCTTACATTGCTTTGTTTACCACTATATGCAGATATCAGTCACATGACACAATCGCTGAAACTGAAGCCAGCTCACAGCTGATTTATTCTACTGATCAAAAAGAAGTTAGTGCAGAGTTATCTTCACCATCATTATGTCTCCACTATACACTTGTAGGTCTCCCCAACTGTAGATACTATCGACAATTGTGCCTCTGCTATTCCATTTAAAGAGCACTCTGAGCTTGGTACAGTTATACATGTATGTATTTATTATTAATTGTTTTATTTTTTACGCCATAGGTACTTGTAATAATCCTACAAAGGCAAACACTTGTGATACTGAAAAATCTAAAGCATCGTCTAATCTTATAATGTATACACAAAATAACAAAGAGAAGTTGTCACACTCTATGCAAGATCTTCTTCAGAGAATACCGGAAAATGCTGAATCATTGGCAGTTTTAGTTGGTGGAGTTTCTTTTCTGAAAGAAACTCTTGTTGTTTTTTTGCGCCTAAAGCATAGTCATCTATTAGGCAATTTAACAGAAGTGCCCATACCTGTTCGCTTCATTTATCTAGCTCTTGGTCCACCTAACTCTATTGACTACCATGAAGTTGGACGTGCTATGGCAACTCTTATGTCTGATAAAGTATGTGTATTTGCCATCCTAATATATTTTATTTTAACTTCATTTTGAAGCATTTTCATGACATAGCTTATGCATCATCGTCTAAAGAAGAGTTATTGGATGCAATTGATGTATTTTTGGATGGTAGCATTGTCTTGCCCCCTGGCGACTGGGATCAAGATCTTATTTTACCACTAATGCATGAAAGACATGAAATGAAACGAAATAAAGGTATGTTGTGTTTGCAATGAGTTTAATTTTTATTCCAATACTAATAGAGAAGAAGCAATTGCATTCTGATCATGATGAAAGCATCAAGTTTTCTTGTAAACCTTGTGGAGGATTGTTTCATGATGTCAAAAATCTAGTGAAGCGCTATCCCAGTGATTTCAAAGATGTTTTACATATTCAGCCTTTATTGGCTATTTTATTTGTCTACATTTCTTGTGTTGCTCCTGCTATTGCTTTTGGAGGTCTCATGGGAGAGGTCACACACAACTTGATAGGAGGGACGGAAACTTTAGTTGGGACGGGTCTTTGTGGTATTGTTAACGGTTTGTTTTCAGTGCAACCTCTGTCTATTTTAGCTTTTACTGGGCCATTGTTGCTCTTTGAAGAAGTCATCATTGAGGTTAGTGCTTAAAATTATTTTATTTCATGTTCATTCTTGTTCAGTTTTCTCATTTGTTACATATTGAATACCTGCCTTGGAGAGCTTGGATTGGACTTTGGGCGATGTTTGTTATTTTACCTTTTGCCATTTTTGAAGGAACCTTTTTAGTAAAGCATTTCACTCGTTTTAGTGAAGAAATTTTTACTGGAGTTGTAGCAGTGTTTTTTGTTGTAGAGACCGTAAGAACATTGAGTAGAGTAAGTATTATTCCTTATGTTAATCCTATAGTATTTATCATCAATTTTGGCACATTTTAGATATTTCAACGCAATCCTTTGTGTGGTGTCTTTTATCCTTGTGGTCGATATGCACAATGTACTAACATTTGTGACTGTTCATTAAGCAATGCCAGTGATGTGTCTGATTATGGACCTGGAGTAAATGAAAGCATTAATCCCGAAGTGCCACGTGCTTTTAATGTGTGCAACCAGCCTAATACTGCTCTCTGGTCAGTATTTTTGTGTCTTGCTGTTTTTTTCATTGCTGTCCTACTAAGAAAATTTCGCCAGAGTCAATTTCTTTCAAAGCAGGTCTGACAGTAAATTTTCTTTTTAGCATCAATTTTTTATTCTTCACAGGCTCGCCGTCTTGTTAGTGACTTTGGTATGCTTACTGCTATACTCACCATGGTTATACTTGCATTTTTCTTGCGTAACTTTATCTCAGTGGAAGTTCTAGCTATTACAAATGGATGGAGACCAAGCAATTCATCAGCACGGGGATGGATTATTAACCCAGTTTATAATTTAAAAGCCTTTCATATTGTAGGAGCTATAATTCCAGCTATTTTAGTAAGCAATTTATATTTGTTCTATTAACTTCTTTATATTTCAGCTTGGTACCTTAATTATCATTGAGAATCAGTTAGCATTATTCTTGGTTAATAAACCAGAACATGGATTACGAAAGGGTGCTGGGTATCACTTTGACTTATGCATTGTTGGAGTACTGACTAGTTTCTGTGGTATATTGGGGCTACCTTGGCATTCTGCTGCTCCTGTTCGATCTCTTCAGCATCTGCAGGCATTGAGTTACTTTTCTAAGAAGACAGCTCCGGGAGAGAAACCTCATTTGGAAGGAGTGTATGAGCAAAGGGTCACCAATATTGCTGTTCACGTTTTAATCAGTTAGTTTTGGTTTCAATTAATTATCATTTTTTGATTCCTTATTTTTAGTTTTATCACCATTTGCTTATAGAATATTGCGTGAAATTCCTTTTTCTGTTGCTATGGGGGTATTCCTTTACCTTTCTTATGCCTCTTTTAGTGGCATACAATTAAGAAAGAGGCTTAAGCTGTTTTTTATGCCACCCAAGCATCATCCTGATATTCATTATGTTCAGAAGGTACATGTGTACATATTTACATTTTAGAGTTTATCCGATACTCTCATTTAAAGGTTCGAACTTGGAAAATGAACCTCTACACTTTATTGCAAGTTTTTTTAATTGCTATTCTCTTTGGGTTAAAGGTGTCACCTGCTGGACTGTTGTATCCATTAGCTATAGTTCTTTTGGTGCCAATTAGAAAATTTATTGGAAGATATGTGTTCAGTCATGTTGAAATGGAAGCTGTAAGTACTAAAGTACAATCTGAGATGAAACTTTGAACTGTACCACTTTACTTTTTACCTAGCTTGATAGTGAAGAAGATCATCCTGATGAAGCCAGTGATGAAGATGTCTTTGCAGAGTATAAGCAAACATCTGTACCTTATTGATTTGATTTTAATACTTTATGTTTGTGTGAAGCATTATGTCATGCATTATGTGAGATTCGAAAAAATTTAAAATAATAGATTACAAAAAAAGGAACAACGACCCTGATGGGACTCGAACCCACAATCCCCAGCTCCGGAGGCTGATACCTTATCCATTAGGCCACAGGGTCTATTATCTTGGGAGATGTTGTTCTTATCGTAGTAGTGATCCATCCAATGGCAAAGTGTAAACGGTCACATCAGTGACATCACACGTTCACGTGAGAATCACGTCGTTATCATGTGATTCAAATAATTGGCGCATGCTCATATTGCTCAAAGTATACACATGCCCACAGGTTGGCACCCCCATTGGGGATAGGAGAGACTTGGATCTGAGATTTTTATACGTAACAACTGGAAGATGAATCTTACCCCAATTCTTGAGGCAACAGTGTCATCCAGTTAGTTTTTGTGTATGAAATTATTCTTACTTTTTTGTGTTAATTTTTAATTAATTAGGTACTGCTGACATACAGCAGGCAGAGAAGTTTCTTGAACAGGCTGCTTCACAGGATTTAGTATGTTGTTTGGTTTTATCAGTCTGATTTATGTGTGTATGTAGTGTCAGTTTCTGAAATTACTTGCAACAGAATTAGCAGATGTCAGCAAATCTGTTGTTTCACGTATGGCAGCTGGCCTTCAGCTCAAGAACTATTTAACATCTAAAGATCCAGATTTTAAATTGCAATATCAACAGAGATGGTTATCATTTCCATTAGATGAAAGACAGGGAATTAAACACTTAGTAAGTACATGTGCTTATACAGTTTCCGGAAAGAGTAATAATTTTTAGGTAATGCAAAGTTTGGGTACAGAAACGACAAAGCCTACGGCACCTCAAGTTTGCTTTCTTACTGTTATGAGTAGCTATTGGTTCTCTGTAGGTCATTGCATATATTGCCAGTGCAGAACTACCCAGTGGTGCATGGCCTGAAGTTATTGCAACTTTAGCATTCAATGTCACCAGTACTCAGAGTTCAGAATCACTTAAAATCGCGTCTTTAGACTCAATTGGCTACATTTGTGAAGAAATTGTAATGCAACATAAAACTCATTTCATTATAATTTAAATATTTTTTAAGAGTCCCAAAGTTTTGAGTGGTGCCTCCAACGAGATCCTAACTGCAATTGTGCAGGGTATGAGAAAAGAAGAACCAAGGTTAGTTTATTCTAGTTGCATATGTACAGTGAGTTTCAATTACATGAATAGTTTGCATGTACGTCTAGCAGCCACAAAGGCTCTCTACAATTCTCTCGAGTTTACAAAGTCAAATTTTGATAAAGAGGTATTTATTTTTAACATTTTAGTGCAGTTTCTGTTAAAATTTTTAGACTGAAAGGCATTTTATCATGCAAGTAGTTTGTGAAGCCACCCAATGCCCAAATGAAGAGGTTATGATTTCATTTAGTATGTTGATTTTATCACTTGTGACAGGTTGTTATAGCTGCTTTACAGAACTTGGTTAAAATAATGAGTCTGTATTATTCTTACATGGAAGCATACATGGGACCTGCTCTATTTGCTGTTAGAGAAGTAGCTAATATTCTTGTTTAATGATATACTCTTCTAGATAACTTTGGAAGCAATGCAAAGCTCTATTGATGGTGTAGTACTACAAGCCATTGAGTTTTGGTCAACTGTATGTGATGAAGAGCAAGACTTAGCGATTGAAGCAATGGAGGCAAATATATCTTTTATATAGTAAAAAAATATTACTTTTATAGGCATCAGAGACTGGTCGACCACCTAGTCAAACTAGTTTTCATTATGTCCGTGGTGCTCTTCATTTTTTACTCCCAATTTTACTGAGAATATTAGCTAAGCAGGTGAGAAGTACATGTACATTGTGTACATGTTATTGTTGCTTTTAATTAAGGCTCTGTATGTTTTATTCTTTTTATGTTGCTATTGCATTTACAAGTTTTTTTCTGTTTGTATACAGAATGTATTGTGCAAAGTATTTAACTACATGTATGTTCCTTAGTATTTAATTTTAAATATGCATTTTATTTTTTGTAGGAGGAATATGATGATGAGGATGATTGGGTTCCTTCCAAAGCTGCTGGTGTCTGTTTATCACTAATGGCAAGCTGTACTGAAGACTCTATTGTTCCATTAGTGATACCCTTTGTGAAAGAAAACATATTCAATGGGGATTGGCGATTTAGAGATGCTGCTGTTATGGCTTTAGGTTGCATTATGGAAGGACCTGATCCGGATCAACTAGCTCAGTTTATATCTGAGGTTTTTTATTCTCATGAGTACTTGCTACATGTACTTGTCCTCTTCTGTAGGTTCTGCTTCGTATAATTGAACTAATGAAATCAGATCCTTTGATTCAAGTGAAGGATTCAGCTGCTTGGACTATTGGTAGAATATGCGAGCAAGTTCCTTCAACTGTGTTACATCTTGAAGTATTAAGCCATTTACTCCCAGCTTTAATCGATGGTCTAAAAAGGGAAACTCGTGTTGCTACTAATATATGCTGGGTAATTTTTACTTGTACTTATATTGTATTTCTGGAGCCCTTGTGCAAGTTAATGAATGAGTCATTACTTTGAATTACAGCATCTATAGATTTGTTGGCACTAAGTACATGTATATTTGTTGTGATACCATGAAGTAAAATTTTCCTACTGCCATTTTGTAGTCGTAGTTTACTAAGAGTAGAATGGGAGAAAGCAATATATCTGCTTCTATTTGTCCTAGTGGCACTTATTAAAGCCCATGATCCCACTAGAGACACTGTATAATGGTCATGCAGTAAATAGTAGCAAAATTGCTGTCACTATAATAAATACAGCAGTTTTTGGAAAACAAGTTCTTTCACAATCGCTCCATTAACAATCATTGGAAGATGGACTCCATAATGGCGGCAGGAAAATTTTACTTTATTTACAGTATCACAATGAATATACTTAAAATTTTATGAATGTACTTTGCGCCAACTGGTCTATTAGAATCTATGCTTTTTTTACATGGCTTTGATTTTTATGGAAGATTCAATGAAAACTTTTTAGTATAAGTAGTACATGTATTTTTGCACTACGGAAGCTTGTTTTATAAATGTACACATGATAATGCTTTAAAATGGATTATTTGGTTCACATTATATTCTGTACTGCCACCTACTAGTATATGTTTTATGTGTGTGTGTAAATTTGATGTTAGCTAGCCTTAATGTGTCATAGCTACCATCCATTGAATTTATTAGATCCTCACTTGCAATATACTTCCATGCATATTGTATATTTTTGGCATAATTTTTTGTCAACTAATGAGGTTTGTTTAAATATGTATTTATGTACATGTACATGTGTATTTAAATTGGCTTTATTGGCCACACGTACATGTACATTATGTACTGTAGCAATTACAGTGTCAGGTACATATACTCTTACATGCATTTTAGGCATTTTCATCTCTAGCTGAAGCTGCTTGTGATTCTGCTTTACAAGCTTGCTCTACTGATGATGTGGAAACTTATGCACTGTCATCTTCCTTTGAACAGATTGTGTCAACTATTCTTGCTACTGCTGAAAGGTCATTAAACTCTATTTTTGTGTCTTGAGACCAATTTATGTTTTTTCTATAAGCCAGTTCAGTACCTGAAATACTGTATAGGGCTTTTATTTTGCTGGTACCATAAACATTTTAGAGTTTGTCCAGATTTTCCGTTTGTTGGTATAAATTTTTACAAATCTTTATCTTCTGTGTTGTGTACCACACCTCTTTTGTGGAATTTAATGTTTCAAATTTAATGAAAATATGAAATTTGCAGAACTTATTTCCAGTGAAATAAATTATAACCCCTATATGGTATATGTTTCATTAACATTTTACCATATTTTACATGCATGTATAGTCATGCACATACATGTATATCATTTTTTTATTTTTGTGTTACAGAAATGATGCAGTTCACAGTAATCTTAGAACAGCTGCATATGAAGCATTAATGGATCTCATTAAGTACAGTCCTAAGGTCAGATTAGCTTTCTTTATTGGTGTTTCTTACTAGTATTATGTGACTTAATTATTGCTCCTTATGTCTATGTTCTGAATTTGTCATGATTTAGTTTAATTTGCATATTCATGAATTAATTTTTGTAAATTAACCAACACATTATGCTGTTGTTAAAATGGTGACTGGAGTTTTACAGTCAAACCTGTGGGGAGCTGTATTGTGTTGTTACCACTCTTTGCCCTGTTTTTATATGATATATGGGGTTTTTATTTTGTTGGCATAAAATTTGTAGGTTTGTCCCGATTAGCCATTATTGTTATAAATTTTTTGCTAATCTTACCTTTTGCAGCCATTTTCTTAATGTGCCACACCTCTTTTGATCTAAAATTCATTTCCAGTGAAATGTTACCCCTACACAAAATGTGTTCAGTGTAACTTAAACCTCTCATGAATCCAAAAATAGTTGAATTTCATCACTCACTGATAATGAAATATGTAACATTTCTCTGACAAATTAATGAGGCAAGAAAAGCACTATACACAAATTTATTTACATTGTGCATACTGTATTTCCTCGAATAGAAGCCACCCTTTGAATAGTAGTTGCATCCAAATAGTAGCCCCCTCTATACTTACAGCTATAGTAATAGTAGCCGCCCTCTAATTGAAGATTGGAGCTGCAGCTAATTCAGCTTTAATTAATTAATGTGCCATGTGTGCTCGTTTGAGTGCTCATTTTTATTCTCTGGCAAGACCTATGGTTTTTCTCCTATTACTGGGTTCCATGTCTCCCAATGTTTAGCTCAAGTTAGCTTGATTTCTACACAATAGTACACACAGATGGTGAGTGATGGGTGCGGTCACATGCAGGCGTGACCGGCTAAGAGAGAAATAGTAGCCACCCTCGAATAATAGCACCTGTCGACTTGAACTGAAATTTATAACAGCTGTGGCTAGTTATTGAGAAAATCTGGTATATTTATGGAGTCTCATAAAGTAATTGTGGTGCACCTTAAGGTTGGGTTAGAATGTATGTTTTGCAATGAGAATGATAAATGCAAGAATAGAACTCTGTTCTACATATGTATGTTGCGTTTACTCATGCATTGATACAACACTAACAGCCTCAGCACATAATCTGAACCAGCTTTTGTATGATACATGTACATGTACATGCATCTAGGCCATTTTATTTTTTAATTTAGGATCTAGTAAACTTGACAATTTAAGAGCAATAAAAGAGTCCCCTTCAATTTTTGTGTTTTTCTTTTTTTATTCTATTGTTTTAACTTCTCCCTTAAATTTTGCAAGTGTATTGTCATCTTTATGACACTTTTAGGATAGTAAGCCAAATAAAATTGTTAAACTAATAAGGAACAAGTACATGTAATTGTCAGTGTTCAGAGCTAATGTATACCAGATTTTCAGTATAATGACTTTATTATGGTTATGACTACCTGTACATACATGTGTACATACAAAGTTACCAATTGATGGGTATACTTTCTCCTTTTTGTCTTTCCCAAAACTGATCAGTGTGATGCACTTCTATCTAGCTTGTAACAGGGCCCCAAGTCAGGGCAGTAGCAGACGGTATGGTTGCTACGGTTTTGGTCGGACCAAAAATCGAAAATGGCGTCCAGGGGGCGCTTATATTAAAGCTAATCAATTTTTAATTGATAAAAACCAGACACACCCTCAGCATCAGACATCAGCATGGCTTGTAGTAGTAGAAGCAGCTCGTCTTCAAGTTTGCCTGACCTTCCTGTGACTCCCACAGCACTCTTTTGGTAAAACGAAAGTAGTACACCATTCTTTTCAAGGCTTCACATCTAAATATCAATAACGATAACCTTGATAATAACAATAAAATTGCAATAATTAATTGACCATACCCCTTATGAATAATTAATTAGGTTGTCCAATTTTGCCACACGCTTTGCGCATGGCAAGAAACTGTACCACTCCCAATTTTCTTCCTACGGCCCTGCCCCAAGTCACATGTATATAATCATGCATCACCTTTAAATTTTAACTTCATTAAATTAATTTATCAAATCAATGCATACAGTTTTTTTTTTTGTAAAAGTTACCTTACAAGTATTTCTTACTTCAGGATTGTTACATTGTTGTGCAAAAGACTGTTTTGCATGTGCTAGATTCTCTTCAGAAAGTTGTTCAAATTGATGAGGTAAACCTTATATTTGTATGCATGCATGTACATGTTGATCGATGCATCTCTCTTTTTAAAATAGAATTTATTGCAAGGTCATGACAAACAGCAGGTTTCTGATTTAGAATCACTTCTGTGTGCAACATTGCAAGTAAGCATCACAATAGTATATAGTGCATGTGTTTTGATTAGACTCATCATTAATGCAGTTGTGTCACTAATTGCTGTTACTGAATACTGACCTACATGTACATGTGTCAAATTAAAATGCCTTACACTTCTTATTCATGTACCTCAACAGTTGACACGACAACTGTTTATGCAATGAACTGATTGAAATGAACATAGTGTTACTCATCTATCTGATAATATAATGAGGGAAAAACTTCTTTTTCTGTTTAGAGTCTTCTTAGAAAGATGACAAAGGAAGATGTCTTGCAAATATCAGACAGTTTAGTACAAGCATTAATAGCAATGTTATCAACATCCAGTGGACTAGTTGGTGGAGTTCAGGAAGATGCTATACTAACGATTGGAGCTCTTGTTGAAAGTGCATAAATGTAATTTGTGGTATTACTTTACATTTTTATAGGTTTGGGTGTTGATTTTTTGAAGTACATGCCCTCATTATCAAATTATTTGATTGCTGCACTGAAAAACTATAATGACGTTCAAGTTTGTGTCTATTATGATAATGTTTTGCTTTACGGTCTATTTTAAGGTATGTCAGGCTGCAATTGGATTAGTTGGTGACTTGTGTCGAAGCTTAAGTGTTAACCTAATTCCATACTGTGAAAACATTATGCAGATTATGGTTGATACATTATCTGTGAGTGTATAATTATTTTCAACTTTAACTTTGTTGTGTTTTACAGAATCCTACAGTTCATCGTTCTATTAAGCCGCCAATTTTGTCAACTATTGGTGACATTGCCTTAGCAATTGGATCTCAATTCATGATTTATTGTGCCCCTGTTCTAGGTATTCTTGAGCAAGCATCTCGTACACAATCAGAAAATTCAGTAAGTTCCATTTGTAAAAAAATCGATTGCAAATTACATGTAACTTTCATTATGTTTGTGACTATACAAAATTTTTAATGTGTTTATTAATTTTTTGCTGTTCAATACATGATATACATTAATACAGAATGACTAGTTAATGCAGGAATACATGTATATAGCTGTAGATCTTCATGCTTCAATAGCAGAAATACAAAGTTACATGTATTATGTTAATTTTGATCCAGTGACCACTAGAAGTGAAAATTGTTTGCGTAGGAAGATTATTCGAAATTTTTACAGTTGTAAGGTGTGGTTTAGGATGAAATAAATTCCAGACGCCATTTTGGTTGTGGAGAACAAACAGGCTGACATAAAACCAAACCTGTATTAAGAATTCAGGAGCAAATATGACCATATTTTTCACAGGAGAAGCTTAAAGGCAGCTGTTCTTTCTTATAACAAGCACTTTTTAGCTATTGATAGAGCTACAGCAGGTAAGTGAGGCATTTTCTTCGTGCCTCCATTGACTTCTATAACAAACTTGCCAACCAAAATGGCAGCCAGTTATGATGTGTGGGCAGATACCGTAATGAAATTTATATATTTTCCAATTCTCACTTCCATTGGTCTATAAGCTATGTTATGTTCTTTAAATATTATTTAGTCTGACTTGGACATGCTGGATTATCTGAATGAATTGAGAGAAGGCTGTTTAGAAGGATATACTGGTATCGTTCAAGGGCTAAAAGGAGATAAAGAAAATGAAGTTAGCAGTAAGTTTATTTTTCATCAATTTTGTGGAGGTACATTTCCTGTTATAGGTGACATCCAATTAATTGTCCCACATTTGCCGTGGATTTTAGCATTCATAGAAATAATTGGCAATGAGCAAGAAAAGACAGACAGTGTAATAGCTGGTGCTGCTGGACTGTTAGGGTAAATGTAAAGTTTCAATGATGTTGCTATTAATTTAATGTTTAGTGACTTACTAAATTGCTTTGGAGCTCAACTTATTCCTATTATTACCCAAAAGCCTGCTATCACTAAGCTATTAAGTGAAGGAAGACAGTCTCGAAACAAACGCACAAAAACATTAGCTACATGGTCTATGAAAACAATTAAGCAATTGCAAGGAGAATCACCAGGCTCGAAGTGTGTATGCTAATACAAATTTTATTGTACATTTATTTGAACATTTTTTAGGGCTAAATGATCAATTAGTCAGTCTAAATGGTGTAGCTACTTGTAACATTTTGTTGATTAGTAACATGTGTATTTGGTTTAATATTAATTGTTTCAATTAAAGTTAGCAAAAAATCATAATAATTATTATTTCAATTTTAAAATTCTTTATCTGCAGTTTTTCTTGATCTTAGTTACACAGGAGTATCACGAACTTCATTTTCAACATCTTTAAAAGTCCTCTTTTCTGGTATGTTGCCTGGTGAGACTAATCCGTTCTTTGTCCCTGGAACACGTTCCCACCACTTGCCTGTCACTAGCAGTAGGCCTATCAGGAAAACAAATAATGCAACCATAAAAAATTGAAATATCTTTATGATATCTATCCTGAGAAGGACAGCTTCATCAGTTGAGACGATCAATATGCCACCTACAAATAACAAAATGCCACCAACAATAAATACAGATCCCCATAAACGACTTGGTTGAAAGTCAATCAGAATTTTTGCAGCATGAAAGGCAGTACCGAAGAAAGCAAGTGTAGCCAAGTAGAAAGCAAATGCTCTAGAAAGACCACCAATCACATCAGAATCACGACCAAATTGTAAGAATCGGAAGCAGTGGAGGGACGTAAAGTTAAGTTGTTCTATATCTGGATCGTTACAGTCAACATAAACAAGTGATGACGTATTGAAGCAATCGATTTCAACACTGGTATGAGGACATGACCGCAAAGTAGTTTGACTTGTTATGTTAGCATTCATAAAATATGAGACAGCCAGCAAAAATGCAAGGGATACAATAGCAGTAATAATCCACGTAGATGGTGATCGGCTAATTTTCTGAGAACAACTGTTTTCTGCTTTCTCCGTTTCATCACTGTTTTCTGCTTTCTCCGTTTCATCACGAAAGTTATCATTTGGGCTTAACTGGAAATAGAAACGATCAAGAATGCTCCAATAGGTATATTCCTTTCCTTCGACAAGCTTGACAACTGGGAGTAAACGAGTAACAAGGACTCGAGGATCTACACTACCATTAGTAGCATACTCCAAGTAAATAGAGAATACAATAGCAGCAAATACCACAGCAAGTGGCATTACTAGGCCAACAATAAACTCAACCACTATATATGGCCATACAACTTTGTTGACTCGACGTGCATTGTCATATGCAATAGCAATGCCCCAAAATACTACCAAAGGGAATAAAACAAGTTTAGTCACATAATACAGCTTACTTACCACACAGCATTGCAATCACTGAAAATATCATTGATAAAAACACAGCAATTACAGAACCAAATGAAGCAGGAGCTAAAGTAGCACCCTTGAAATGAATTACAGGGACTCCTTTTGTAACATCAATCTTTCCTTCCACATTACCCTCATGTATGTCAGCATGGATGCCAGTTCCGCTGTCGGTTTCTTCCATGGCTTTATTACGGTCAACTCTACAAGCCAAGGACATAAAATAAGAATGACCTTTTAATGCCTACTTTCGTTTGTCGTGGCTTGGGTTGCTTCTAATAGCCTCAACGAGCAGTACAATAGCGATAGTTCCCAGTATGGAGTATGGCAAGGCTGTAACTGAAGAGGCCAACATAAAATAATACCAAATCATTTCGAAGTCATCGCTTGAGCTCTCCAAAGCTTCCACATACCGCTGATCAGATATTTGAGCAGCCACAAACCCAGCAATAGCTACATTTCGTTACAAAGTACCTGTATAATGATAAGTCTGGGGAAATGTTAGACTTACCTAAACCAATCAAAGCAAATAAAAACAAAATGGCTAGTATAAGAAAGAGAACAGAGAAAAACCACAAAAGTACCCTCTTTGCAAGACCAGCCATTGCTGCTGAATCGACGCGACAAACCCGGCTGACCCGCCCCAATACCTCATCATGATGTCATTCAAATTTTTTACAATCGAAATTAAACAATTTTTAATAATACATTGTAATTATAATTACTGGTTTGTCATAGCAGGATCACCTAACTTGATTGTAGGTGGAGAAGAAGATAAAAAATTAATTGAAGGGGTAGCTGTATCAGAAGTTGTAAAAGGTACTGTAACAGGTGGCATCGACTGAATAGAGACAGTAGCGATATTAGACGTTATTGCTTCAACCGAAGTACCTGACTGTGTTGGCACAGGAAGTGAATATCCTAATGATGGTGACAATACTCCCGGCATTGATAGACTAGGTGGTGAAGTAGGTACCGTTGAAACAGCTACACTTGTAGTTAAAGAAATTGCAGAATTATTGAGAGTCTCCAGTCCACTTCCATTTACTACTTCATCGTGTCCAGGTGTAGAAGGCACTACTAAAGGTACTTCAGGTAAACTAGGAGCCTCGCTACTAGTTGAGACAGCAGGAACTGGCCGACTAACCGGCAATGAGGAGTGACTAGTAGCTACAGGAGTTGGCGAAGGTTGTACAGGAATACGATGAAGATATCCATAACCAATACCACACCCAATACAGCCTTCTCCTCCCCAATCAGAATTAGCTGTCAATGCTACCTAATATAAAAAAGAGGCTAGTCAGAATCAGACAACACAAGTAGAGCATCTAGAAGTATTAAAAATAATGAGTATTATGTCAAAACATTGTGATTTACAACTCTTATGTGTGCAGTGTGGATCAACTTTTACAAAGAACTCACTTCTCTACATTTATCAGTATCACAATTGTAGACAAAAAGACGTATAGTTTGCTGATTATGTGCTTCAATAACAGAATAAAGGTCATTGTCGTCAGGACCCATAACATCAGCTCCCAATATGTAATCTGTATGAGGAATAAGACCTGCTACTGCAGCAGGAGAGTCTGGCTGAACTTCCTATTGTAACAGTAATAACTTAAACAATAATATATGCCATTTTATTATACATACCAAGACATGCCATACATTCTCACTGGCACCTTCAAATGAGCAGAATCGTATACTCACTCCAAGCAAGCCCTGACCGCCCCAACTACTTGAAGGTGTTAACATCACTTCTAAATAAACAAATAATTATTCTTTATGATCTCATACACAGTGAAAGCAAAATGAATCAAAAATGAATCTTAAAGCACTGCTCTCTTAAATGCATCACATGAAGTGTTCATGAATTAATATACACTGAAAATAATTACCATGCCTCAGGAAAGACTTTAATTATAACTATAGGTGAATGTAAACATTGAAGGGGCGAGCATGAGCCATTGATTCACACTGTTCCATAAGAAGATTAAAATTATAATAAATCCAGCTCTTAGCCTGCATGCATATTCAGACCCCATCTTCATGGTCGGGGTCTGAAAAGAGAAAACACACCAACTAACAACCAAAATAACCCAGTAACACATATAAGAATGTCCAGATATACATGTATAAGAAATAAAGCTATACTTTTAAATTCTAATCTTTTCTTACAATCTTCAAAGAACTATAACTTATTATTAAACATAAATAGTTAAAGAAAAAGGAAAGAGAGGGAAGGAAAATTTCAAGTAAAATTATAGTAAAAAGAGAGAGGAAAATCTAATTAAATAAAGCGTAACATCTTTGACATGGACACTTAAAATGAAAAGTACAGGGAGGGTATTCAGCTCTAAGTTGCTCCATAAAATTTCATAGACTAGTGTTCCAGAGAGAGAGATCTAAAGTTGGTAGTTTATTCTTACATTCTTAATTCTGTCAATGAGAGGACTAATCTAGAGGAGTCTTAGATCAAAATGCTATTACGTTTTCAAGCCTTTAGATAGCTCCTCTTTCTTATCTAGCTGTAGACAGTTTGTCCAGTACCCTCAAAATTAATTTTGTCCACGTGGTCCCAATTTATTAATAGTATACTAATTTATACATCGTTATCTTCTGTTCACAAACAAGACATAACCCAAAATAGACCTAGACAGATTAGAGTGGGTCTCGCTCTCGCTCGCTCCAATTATTGGATCAGAAATTAGACCACACATAATTAAATGACAGCACAATTTTTAAACACAAATATTTTCTATGACATAAATTTCCTGATTTACAGTATCTTGATCACAATAGCCAAGGAAATCATTTTCAAGATGTTAGTTATGTAAAAATAACAACAAAATTAAGCCAGATAAAGATCAAATAAATCAAAAATGCTAAAATGAATACAAACAAGTGTGAGTTCCTAGATGATTAAGTGCATTACCTACCTCTGGTATTCCGAGACTTGGAACTATAAACGACAAGTTTAACTGGTGAATCAATGTTTTGCTGCAAAATACCCTTTAATGTATCATTATCCTGATCCTGAACAAAAATTGTAAATAATTATGTCAAATTTCATATTACACGTTATCATACCATTCTAATGTCATTGACAGACACAATAAAATCAAAGTAAGGCTCTAACCCTGCATGATAGCCAGGGGAATTCTCCAGTACCTAAAAATTTGATTGTGAAGATTTTCATTAAAATTACAACTTACTTTCAGGACATGGTAACCTTCTGTACCCCCTCCAGGCACAACAGTGGACTGACTCCCTCCCATTTTTTTTCTTCAACACGTTTCCTAACTTTTCTTCCTTTATTCAATATTCTATATTAAAGATCACGTGAGACAAGTTAGTTACTTAGCAACAGAGCCATAAAACAAAGTTGCCACGCCCAATGTGATTGAATGGCCGAAAGTCCTCTTGAAGTCGAGGTAGAAGAAGCTCTACCTTTTTCAAGTAAGAGACCTCTCAATTGGAAATTCTTATTATTCCGCATGTGGTAGCTGATAGAGCAACTGAATATGAAGCATCACCTCAAGCATTACTAATAAAATCTGCTGATGAACCTGCACTTCCTCCTATTCAACCATCAGGTATATATATGATATACATGTATATTATGCTAGTATTAAATTAATGTATTTTAAAATGAATGGAACTGGGGGAATTTGACTGCACCTATAGTACTTATTGCCTCTATAAAAGTATCGTGCTATTATATACAGGTTAAATGCCAATACATGCGTTTTTACTAAACATGATTACACTGTATTTGGCATGTATACTCTATATACAATTTATCTTTTATTATGAGGCCTCAGGTGAGGGGCTAAACAGTCCTGTAATACAGCTGCATTGAGAAATTTCTTGTTCACGTTTCACTTGTCATCCAGGGACAAGTCCCAAAGATCCTTCAGGCTTAACATGCAATCGATGACTGCCGTTATGCAATGGAAAGTTTTTTGTCGATCTTTAGTTTATGAGTTTCCACTGTTACAGCATCATAGCATGTTTAATGACAAATTTTGATTGGACAATAATGTTTTGCCACGAAAAACAATTCATTATTTATAAAGTACAATAGCTTTTCAATAAATTACATCAGGCTATACAAGAATGGTAAATCTTTTGAATTATTACTTGATTTTGTGTGAACTGAACATCAAAATGCCACTCTATTAACTAAATAATCCTTTGTCTAGACGAAAAGATGAGTACCAATCAGAATAATACACCTGCATGCATATTATAATTAATTCTATATTTCTTCTGTCTTAATTGCTATTGTTTCTTCTCTTCCTTTTTGTAGCTAGTGCTCAAAATGAGAAATCGGTATGACATAGCTAATTTTTGCTTTTTTAATTATATTTAATTATTAAACAATAATCATTCAGATTGTGAAATGTGGCAATACATCATTCAATGAAATGTTAAATGCTGTTCAGTAAGTATCATTGTTTTACAGTCTAAATTCATTCAGTCCTTTTAGTTTAGATGTAAGGAAAGCTCTAGGAGAAGCTCAGAATGTAACAACACATGATATGAATTTGGAAAGACAATATCGACAAAGTAATTGCATTAATATAATTTTTTGATGTTAAATAATTTATTGTATATTCATGTACATGTATTTATTTTAGTCGTTGAAGAGAATTTTAAGCTACATGCACAGTTGTATCGTGCTAGAAGAGAAATAACAGTAAACTATTCACTCAAATCATGTGTCATCATTTTACAATTATTTCAATTATTTTAGCACTTAAAAGGTCACTTGACAATAATGGAGGTACGTGTATCTTTCTTTACATTAAAATAGTTTTTGATCTTGTTTAGTTGATACCATCTGAAATTCGAGAACAAAAGAATCGTCATATAATGCAACAAAAGAAGCATCAAATTCAGTTAGCTATAGCATTTACAAGCTAATAATTTATGTCAGTTTAATTTTAACAGAGAAATGCATCTTCAAAATAGAGTTAAGGTAAGTAATGACGTAGTATTATAGAATTTTATAAAAAGTTTAGGGAAAAGATTTACAACAACTAATGTCATTGATATCGTATGAAGCTAGATCACAAACTGTTAATGCAAAAGGGAAATATATTGACTTCAGGTAGAAGAAGATAATTAATTTTATTTTAGTTTCTTACTTAGACACCATAAACGTCATAAAACATTTCCTCTTCCATCCAAAGTAACACCATCATCACTGCATGATAAAGGATATCTGCCACCTATCCTACCTGGATGCCAGTGCTCTGTATGCAATAGCCAGCAAAGTCTTGGAGCTATTTGTTGTACAAGAGGAAAAGTATCATCATCCACAAAGTACTTTAGTAATTGCTACTTTCTTCTTTTACTATTACTGCAGGAGTGGTCAGCAAATTCTGTTGGGTGACAGAGTTATTTTGCAAAGTGACCAAATTGGAACTGTCAAATACATAGGCAAGTTAAATTTTGATGCTTTAAATCGAATTTTCATTGGAATTCATCTTGATTTTCCTGTTGGAATAACTGATGGAACTATAAGAGGACAGCAATATTTCCAGTGTCCTCCTGGACATGGCATATTTGTGCTGCCTCATGATATTTTATGTGTTACTGGTAGAAAATCTTTGTCTTCTGGTGTTGCGCAACCAAAGAATAAAATAAAGTTGGATCTTCCTGCTAGTCGTAGTAGTCAGCATGATTTTTCTACTAAGGTTGTATAAAATTTGTTTTTTAGTATTAATCGTAGCTTTTAGATGCGAATGCAATATCTTTCCCCTCCCCAAACTGGCTCACCAGATATAATAACCAATGCTGAAATGGTGCTAGATCAAGAATTACACAAGTTATTGCAGGAAAAGCAAAATGTTGTGGATTTAGTTGATTCTAGTGTTTCAGATATGGCACAAAGGTATTTACAGAAATGAGTTTAAATGTGTTTAAAGCCTCTTTATATGCTATTCCTCAATGCTTATATCATACATTGTACACGTATAGAATGTTACAGTTGAAGGCCCGAAGGCATTCATCACAGCATGACAACAACAGTGACAGTGCTGTCTCATTGGCTGAGGAAGAAGACACAAATGCAGTCAATGTTCCCGCTGACGATAAGATTAATGAGGAAACTCTTGCTAATGTAGTACTAGCTGCACTTCAAGCAAAAGATCTTGGGGGCAGTGGCTATGTGACCATGAAAGAGCTATCTTCAGCATTGACTTGTGATGAACTTAGAGTAAGGCAATTACGCTAGCTATGAATAATCATAATTACATTATTTTTAAGTTAACAACAAATGAAGTGGAAGAAGTCATAAGTACACTTGGTTTGCAAGACACAAAAGGACATGGTATAGAATATTCTTCAATTACACCTTCTATTGCCAATATTATTTTACAAATTAGAGCTGCTGCATAATAATTACAATGTATAATAGTAACTTTTAGTACTTTTTTGAAAGAAATTCTATTAACAATGATGAATGAAGGCTTCCCAAACTGGTCTGGTTGATCACTTTCTGTGGATTGGAAAGAGCTAATGATCGTAAACTGCCACAGCCATGTATAGCCACAGCAACCTCATGATCAGAAAACTCCGATTTCTTTAGAATATGCATAACTCCTTCTTCTGAAATGTGTCTATTCATAGCAGATACATATCTTTCTTTAACAATGTCACTTGCAGGTGAGCAGTTAATCTGGATAATTTCAAAGAACATAAAGCATCATTTTGTCAGCCAATTACATACCTTGACAATGTCAATCATTGCAGTGAGGCATTCTGCATTATTATGAGCAGGAATGAACTCAAGTGGTGTCTTTAAATATCTTTTTGTGTATTACAATGCTATAAGTAATACAATGTATGTATCTACCTTTGTTGTAATTCATTTAGAGTAGTAAGCTCTTCCATTCCAAATAACGGTGCCAACAGAAATACATATTGCTTGTAATGTAGGTTCAGAGACTTATCTATTCTATTCAGTAAATAAGTTCAGTTCAGTGTGGTGCATTACGCATGCTATATTTGATTCGAATTTCTAACCCGTTTAGAAACTTCTTTGTCTCAATGTTTTTGCTTTCCAAATTTGTGGTTGTGAATGTCCTGATAATGAACACAACAGAGCTCACAGGAAAGACACAACTATAATATGGAGTCGTTGAGGAAGCTTTTAAAAATTTAATAATTATTATTATAAAATCTGAAACATTATTTTATCTCACTTCTGACTTTAAATTTTGTCCTTTTTAGCAAGTTGTGAAGTTCTCCATCACACAAAGATTCCTCAATTATTACAGGACTATTCATCATTGGTGCAGTGGTGCTGAAAAATTAAAATCTACTGAATCTACTTGGTTGTCATGGTAACGATAACATTTAGAAAATGGGCGCAGCTTTATCTAGTCGAGCAGTTTGGGTCTCGGCCTCGGACACTGTTGGAAAACTTGATTTCTCTAGATCAAATGAAGATCTATTGAAGGATCTCTGTGTTCATATTGAAGAATTGGTTCGTAGCAATCCAAGTGAAGCTGGAGTTTTCTTTCAAAAGCCACTTGTTTGGCATTCTTCTTGTCCTTTTGCATCTTATGATGTTCTTAACCAACCAGAATACATCAGAAAGTATATCATGTGTGTTTGTGTATATGTTATATAGATCTTCTTTATCTTTTAGTGACGAAAGTGTCGTGTCTTCAGAAAAGAAAAATGAAAATCCTGCCTTGAGCATTGTCAAGGTTTGTTTCTTTACTATTGTAGTAAATATGATGCTAATATTTTTAGAACAATGATGGTGCAACCATCACAGTGTACAACTTTAAGTTTCTCGTTAAAGTTATGTCTTGTGTTGGTCAGAAAAAACTCAAAGAAGCTCAACTTTGTCTTGAAGGTACACAATTACAATTGTTACTTTTATTATTCATTATTCTAATTTTGTAATGCTAGCTAATCCTGATCCTTTAACTAACATTATTGGTTCTTCTTTCCATGGAAGTGAGAATAAACTATTGGTTGATGTTCATGATAAACTAGCAAGGTAGAGTGTACACATACATGGTAGACATTAATACTTTAATAACAAAAATAATAACTAGTAAAAATATTTGTCAATTGGAAAATTAGAGAACTTTCTTCATTTAATTTAGGGAAAAGGCTCAAGGTAACAACAATATGGATGACTCAACATTTAGATTACTATTACTCATCAATAATCTTGATATTCAATTAATGCAATCGTCATTAAAACAGTTGGGGAGGTAAGAAAATTAATGGATTTATCATTTTTCTATTATTTGAAATTTGATAGAGATGTTAGACTAACACCAAATCTTGTGCAAGTAAGGATTAACATGTCCTTTCTAAATTTATAAATGTTTAGAGTGAAGTTGAATTGTTGCAAACTTTTTCTGGAAATGAATCTGATAAGTGTTTAAAAAGCATTGAATACACATCTAGTAAGCTGCATTAGTGATTATTTGTCAATTTTTACTTTAACTACCAATAGCTTTGTCATTTAGCAATGGCTGTCGAGCACCACCTTGGAGGCAAGTTTTGGGGGACATCTGCTATCTGTGCATTCAATTGCATGATAGTGGTCAAATTTATGTGACAGCCAGCACTGAAGGTTACTTTATGAACAAAGTAAGTGTATTAGTAACTGATTTTGTCATGATCATAAATACTGTCAGGGAATGAATCAAGGACAATTGCAGTATGACAAAACCGGTGATTTGTATTCTACATTGGTCCTCTTACTTAAATCTTATAGTCAACATTTTGCTAATACAATAATGCAACAGGTTGTTAAATCATAGCTCAATGATTTTAATGAATTTTTTCTTCAGGAGTTTTTGTCTGTAGGAGATAGTTTAGAATCTGAAGTTCCTAAATCTGTGAGAAGACCTTTGGATACTCATAGCGTCCCTAATGAGGTCACTGAGGCAACAGATAAACCAAAGGAAGCTGTTGTACAAGCACCTCCAGCCAAACCTGTTTCAAAGTATGCTTTGATATGGTTGATATTGCTTTATAGTTTATATAAAAGGTCAAAAAAGTCATCAGCTGAAAAAAAGCAATCTAAAAGACAAAGAAAACAAACACCAAATGAACCTAGATTTGTAACACCTCCTGAAACCTCAGGGTATAATAACTGTGATTGCTCTAGCATGCGTGCTTTATCAATTATAAATTTAGCTCAAAGAAAAGTCGTGGGCAACTTGAATCATCTAAGCAGCCTAATCACTCTGTGTCCTCAATTCATGATATACATGTAGCAGAGTAAGTATTTTGATGTTTTATGTGCATGCATGTATACATGGATATTACGTGGATGTATCATTTATCACAGACTCTCTGAGAATGACATTGGTAGTAGTAGTGATGACAGCGAAGAAGAAGAAGAAATACAAGACAGGCACCCTGAGTCAACAGCGGACCTTCCTTCAGAATACTGGCAGATACAGAAACTCATTAAATATTTAAAAGTATATAATATTATGCGTATGCTGCATATTCTGCATCTGCTGCACTATTATAGGCTGGTAACCAAACCACAACTGTTATTGCTCTGTGCTGTCTGCAAGATTTTGATCTTACACTTGAAAGCTCACATCTCGCTATCAGAGACAATGGTGGTCTAGATTTAATCATTAATTTGCTAGAAACTGGGGATATTAAGTGCATGATAGGTGCATTGAGGATTCTTCGTGATATATCCATACATCCTCACACAAGAATAGCCATTGTTGATTTAAAGGGGCTGCCTCACCTTGTACAAATCCTGCAGTCTCCTATACGTGAACTAAAGTGCCTGGCAGCTGAAACTATTGCTAATATTGCCAAATTTAAGCGTGCTAGGAAAATTGTATGCATTAATGGAGGTCTTCACTATTTGGTATGAATAAATCAATTTGTTTTACTTTTACATGTAGCATTTAGGTAAATATGTTAGAGAGTACTGGACGGCCAGGATCATCTCTTACAGGAGAAAGAAGTGATTTAGAGGTTGCTCGTTGTGCAGCCCTTGGCTTATGGTCTTGCTCAAGAAGCAAAAGAAGCAAGCGAGTTAGTTATTAGCTTTGTATTGTATGACACTATTGTGAATAATGAAGGTCTTACTCAAAACAAATGTTGTTACTTTGCTGGGGCAATATTTGCACTCTGATGAAGTAGACGTATTAATACCTGTTATAGGAACTTTGCAGGAATGTGCTACTGAAGTACATAAATTATACTTAATTAAAAAATATTTTACTTATACATACATGTAGCCTAAATACCAAGAACTGATACAGTCATCAGGTATGATTAAGCAGTTGGTGAAAGGTCTTCATGTTGAAAATGAAGAGCTTCAGATGCATTGTGCTTCAGCAATTTTTAAAGTATGCGTGTTACTTTTACCACCTGATCAACTATGTGATAATAGTGTGCTGAAGAAGAAGCAACACGTCAACTTGTTCGTCAGTATGAAGGACTCTTACCACTTAGTAAAAGGCTTGCTAATGCTAATGATAACAAAGATCTCTTAACTGCTGTGACAGGTGCTATTTGGAAATGCTCCAAGAGTCCACAGAATGTGCATGAGTAATAATGCCATTATTCTGTTAAATCTCTTATGTTTTTTTGTTGTCAGATTGAAAAAACTAAAGGCCATTGAAAAGCTAGTTGGATTGCTGTCCAATCAACCTGAAGAAGTATTATATTTTTATTTTCAACAATAATGAAATGTGTCAAATACATGTACATTGTAGGTTTTGATTAATGTTGTTGGAGCCATTGCTGAGTGTGCACGGATTGATAATGAGAATCGTGTTGCAATACGTAAAAGTGGTGGTGTTGTTCCATTGGTTCAGCTGTTAACTGGAACAAATCAGTCTTTACTCATTAATGCAACCAAAGCTGTTGGTGCTTGTGCTCTAGAAAATGAGAGTATGGTGTAAGTACAGCACATGCATATGCACAGTACATTTACAAATTTTCATCTCTCGTGCATGTAAAATACATGTATGTAACTTAACTCTGATAACTTTAGGATCATAGACAAACAAGATGGAGTTAGGCTTTTGTGGTCCTTGCTCAAATCTCCAAATCCAGAGGTGATTAATGTTTGTCAGACATTCTTTATTACTACAGTCATTAGGTTCAAGCATGTGCTGCATGGGCTATTTGTCCTTGCATTGAAAATGCTAAGGATGCTGGAGAATTGGTAAGATCCTTTGTTGGTGGTCTTGAGTTAATTGTGGGTCTTTTGAAGTCAACTGATGTAGAGGTACATACCATTAATTAATGTTGCCATTTAGCTACATGTACATGTATGTAGGTACTAGCTGGTGTATCTGCTGCTATTGCTAAAATTGCACAGGATCAAGAAAATTTGGCTGTGATTACTGACCATGGAGTTGTGCCTTTGCTTGCTCAGCTTACTCATACAAACAATGATAATCTTCGCCACCACTTGGCTGATGCCATTTCAAAGTACAATGACAGATTTACTTGCTGTTTATTCATTGTCAATTCAGGTGCTGTTCTTGGCGCAATAACCGTGTTGGTTTTGGTCAGAATAGTGCTGTTGCTCCGTTGGTAAAGTATTTATGTTCTGATGATGAATCCGTTCATCGTACAACAGCGTGTGCTTTGAATCAACTTTCTTATGATCCAGACAACTGTATCACAATGCATGAAGCTGGTGTTGTGCAAGTACAGTATTATGTTAATTTGCCTAATTCATTTTTAACATTAACATTTTTAGTTGCTACTTCCAATGATTGGTAGGGCAGATGAAGTTTTGCAGGAAGCTGCTGCTGATTGTATCAGTAACATACGGCATTTAGCAATGGCCAATGATAAAGCAAAGTTTAAGTGACCTCTCAGCTAACTAGCAGTTAACTATAACAACTACATAATAATGAATAGTTCACTTTAGGTTTTCAATTCAAAAACTGTTAAGTTAATTTTTAATTACTGCAGGGCATGATCAATAGATTATTATTATGATTGAGTGGTTGCATAGAAATGTTTATGTGTCCAGGTAAGTTTCAAACATTGCTGCAATCAAAGTTACCTGGCTTAGAGCATTTAGCAAGCATCACAGATAGGTAGAAACAGACAGTGCACAATAATGGCTTCTTGTAGGCTTCTGGTTTCATAGTATCTTGCAAGTTGAGAGTCTCTCTACTGCAACATGTTGCTGCCACACTATTTCTACAGGTATATGCAAGCAGATTCCTGATGCAAGTGCAACTGCAGGAAACTATAGCTTCCTTAATGTGACATTCAGTGCACCTACTACTCAAACAATATTTTAGCTAAGCTGAGCTGTGTGATACTCAGTAGGTTACATGCACTTATGAACTGTATTTGAATCGGTTGAAATGTCAAAGCTAACAGATGCTGAGCTGAGAACAGCTTGCAAAATTGAAGGGAAAAGGACAGACTGAGTTTGAGAGGATTGATGAATCAGTCAATATTGGACAAGCAGTGGACTAAAGATTTGCTGTTGTCCACTTTCATGATCTAGCAGGACTTAGATCTATGCATGTTTTAGATTACCATGACAATGTAGTAAACTAACTACATCTAGTAAAATAAACAAAAGCTAAAGCAATGAAAATTACACATGTTCTATAAACAAACTAAGCAATAACTAGTCTATTAGATCTGGTAAGCTAAAAACACCCAATACAATGCAGCAAAAATTAAAATTTCACTGCTACACTTCAACTGAATCTAGTTCTTAAGATTTCTGTATGGCTGCATCATCTACTCTTCCTCCTAGAACTTCAGCTTGACGTAATGGAAAGAATCCAATATCTTTGTCTTTAATCTGCAAAAAATTATTTCTATTTTAGTCTATTTTAGATATTAGCAGGTTGAAGGGGAATGATGAGACAAAGACTACACTAGCTGGCAGATGGCAAGGCATAGGGGCAGTTAATTGTCCCCTTTTTGAAAGTAGTAAAAGGCTAAATATGCCATGATATCACAGTACTCACTATCATCAGTGTTCAGAAAAAGGAATAGTTAGCCCCAAAGGTTTTAAGTACACTTTACATGCTGCAAAACTTCCCCTATTCAATCTAAAAATTGTACTGATACTGCTAACTACATGTATCGTATAACTTACACATTCATATACATATTTCTCTATTGCATTATGATCTTTAGCATCCATTGAGTCAAGATAAAGCATATAATACACATAATTCCACATGTGATGATCATGTATTACATGATTTTCAAATCCCTACATAATAACCAGGTTACTTAAGGCAATGTTCACACCCCAAATACACAGATAATAAGTAAAAATCATTGTTCCCTCCACTTTATTACTTCCCTGCTTTTCCTTGCCTCATCTCATATGCATGCACTGTGGCACACACACACAGAATACACCTAATCTTTATAATACTTACTTTGCCTTTCCTTTCAAAAGTATCACTATCAATACCACAAATAAAGCAATAAGTTTGTTTGTCTTGATTAACTTTCTCCTAATGAAAACACAATATTAGGATATTAGTATAATTACCCAATTTTCGTGGCCTGTGCAATCCCATTTACACATTTAACAAATTAATTTTAATTTTTTTATATAGACCCTAGCCTGCTGCTGTTAGACCTAGTATGTGTTTTCTAAAATTCTGGGCCAAAAATTTTTTTAGCTATTACATACAACTAATATTGTATAGCTACCTGACCATTTTTTTTCATGCAAACACTAAATTTAGAAAGGGTGATCTATCTTTTTATTTTTTTACTGATATGCCATTTTGTACACATAAACAGATTTTTCATTTGAAAATAGACATTTTTACATTTTGGATTTTTGGTTTCTATTAATTTGATTCTCTTCTTGATTCTTACCCTCTCACTCCTTAGTTCAGAAAAGCGATCCACTAGAATAGCTATCACAATGTTGAGACCAAGAGTTGTGATGATGATGAAGAAGGCCAAATCAAATATACTCTTCACAGCATATATTTTAAAGGATGGCTCAGTCTGACCCATGTATTTGACAGGGAGAATCTGAAATATTGAGAGTTGATTATTACAAGTGAAATTAATTTTTATAACTCATTAAGACTCACAGTTCCAATAGTGTCCAATAGTCCTTCCCTTGTTACTGATATGTAGCATTCAAATAAGGTTCGACAAAATAAATTTTCATTGTCAAAAAAATCATGAAGAAAAACAAATGAAATAACAGCAAAGACTAACAAAATCCCCAAAGCAAGAAGAGCAACTGAAATAAGTTGTGCAGCTATAGCAAAAAAAATTGAGATAAATTATAAACAAGATCTAAATCTAATTTACCTCAAACAAGGACATAATCATGCAAACACTTTACATCAATATCTTACCACTTTTAGAGATAGCAATCAAAACTTGTTGCAGCACATTATTATTTAAAAATGCATACAAAATGCAACCACAATAAAAGTATCCTTCATATCCCATAGCAACAATGGAGCAGACGAGAAAAACAATACAATATAAGGGACGAAAGTTAAAAAAGTACACTTGAAAGTGTTGTTTAAAAAAAGACTCAAATTCGCTGAAATCAATTTGCTGTGAATTTTCTGATCCCTTCTTTTCTATTGAATAAAAAATCCATTTAAAAAAGTCAAGCCTAAAAAGAATTCACAGAAATTGATGTCATGCTTTTTTGGTAACTTACAATAAACCCACAAAATAACTTAGAAATAATATATTTGGATATTCATTGACGAAGTATTCAATGACCATCCATATCGATAAAATGATGTGAAAACTTCCAAGAATATATATCAAAATATCAGAAAACCATGATGCTCCAACTGGATCAGCAATCATATAATCAGCAGTAGTGTTGCTTCTATATGGAGATGATAGCAGTGAAGGCTTCTTTTTAATTTCTTTTTTTCATAAATTAAATAACTTTTTCCCAATTTTACCTTTTATCAGGGATTTCCAATAGTAAAACAACAAACAAATTGAGCAACAAGGTTAGGACAATAAGCAAAAAGTTTCTTATTCGTCTAAAAGTGCAATATGCAAATAATCAATTAATTTTATCTCTTAAACCCACGGTACAGCCACAGCTAAGTGTAAGTACCACTTCTGCTTAAGCTTCTCCTATAGAATTGTTCACATGAAGAAATAGAGGGAGAAAGAGATAGAGGGCATGTGGATATACCAAAATTCAGTGTTTATATATTCAAACTCACTCTGTGCTTAAGATTTCTTTTCATTGATTCCATCCAATTCAAAAGATCTTTAACTTTTGCTTCAGGTGAGTCTCGCTTGATGTTGTCCTGTACTATTTTTTTCTCAGTTTTAGTTAGCTCTTCCTGATACTGAAAGAATGCAAAAGAAATAGATGTATATACAAACATACACTTTTGTTAATAATTAAGTATAACACATAAAGTTAAAAGCATATCAAAAATTGTAGGGCACATCTATGTATCATTTGTGTGTTATCTTACAAATGGAAAATGAACTTTCATTAGTATCTTGTCATTAAACTTTGTCTCATAATTAACTTCAATGCACTTTGTTTTACCCAAATGATGTTGCATTTCCTCAGAAACTGTTTAAAATAGTTCGGTGTTAAACATGTGTTTAAAGAACTAACCTTCACTTAATTGACCCCAAATCCTTTTATAAACATGATATCCTCTACAAGAAAGTGTGTCAAGGCCAACATAAAGAAAGAAATAACATGCCCCAAAAAAAGCAATGCAAAACTTTATAGTTGAAGTCAAAACATACCTAAACATTGCTCTCTCTGCTATTTTTGCCAAACTCTTATCTTTCCTTTTCTTAGTCTTATTATATATATCCTAAACCATCAAAGTTTCATGCTAGATTTAAATCTTATAATTACTTTATGGCTACATTGTCATAATATACATGCATGCTAAAGTTTACCCAAAACTCTGTAATAGTAGACACTAAACCTTTCATTGACAAATCCTGTGCAATCCTTTGAGCTAAATTTTTGCTTTCCCAACTTGTTTCTTCAACGATTACTTCCAGTAATTCAAGAGCTGAAGCTTTGACTTTAATTAATTCATTCTCCTATGAGCAGAAAAAATGACTTCTTTAAACTCAAATATAAACGTGTACAGTAGTTAAAATAATCACAAGTGGTTACCTCAGTTTCACTAAACAATATACTTCCAAAACTGAGGTAACCCTTTAAGCATAGTTTTAAACAAAATTTATTTGCTTCATTGTAGTTCTATATACATTTTACCTTTTGTGGGTCATCCATTTTCATAAGTAGTATAATATTAATTGAGTCAATTACTTGACCTTTGAAAGCAACTTCTTGATTTCCAAAATTACCAGCACAAACTTCTATGAGTGCCTGTAAATTTAATTTTTCAAATATTTCATTCATTCCTGTAAGTACTTGGATTGCTGTCTTTAAAGAACTGATAGTGTTTTCACTGAAGTTTTTTGCTAGTTTTTCAAACAATTCAGCAACTAGCCCAACAATATTGACACTCTATGGTGAATGAATTATAGTATAATATGCCAGGATATTACAATGTCAGCGTTTCTTACAAAAAATGCAGCTTCTTCTTGTTTTCTAAGTAGATTTTGCATTTCAAAATTCTGCCCATCACATAAATACGAAACTACATCAAGAACTATACCAGCCCCTTTTATAGCACCAGATTCACTTGTTTCCTATTAAAAATATTGAAGGAACTGTATAACACTTCCTATTAGCAGTGCAATTTCATTATTAGTGATAAAACAATAATTGATGCAAATATACATGCCATTATAGTCTGCAGGCACTATTTTGCAAGTGCTGGTTACCTGCCCGTAGGCTGGTAACCTTGTATTTAGGCTGGTTACCTTGCCCGTAAATACTCCTGGACCATCATCACCTCAAGTTGATATTTTAAAGCTTAGGTTTATAACCCACAAAAATAATGCATTGCAATATTACACATATTACTGGGGTCAATTACAATTTTACGATTACGATTATGCCTATGCATGATTACATGGTACTGCATGTATAGTGATTATGGTTACGATTACGATTTCACACCTGCCATTAAATGTGTTTACAATTATGATTACAATTGCATCCCTACTGTTTGGTATGATTATGATTACGAATACGATTATGCCTGTATTAGATATGATTATGATATTGCTCAAAGTCAGTGTTGCATCTTATAAACATGAGTTTTTCAAACATAATATCTAATAAACATCTTTGAAGCCTAAAAATTTTTCCACCAATAAAAAAAATCTCTTGACAGATCCACTAGATGCAGGTGTTATTATTATTAATATTATATCAATACATATTATTATTATTGAACTTTTACAAAAATGTAGTTACGACTACAATTACAATTATTGTAAATCTTGAAATGTGAACATGATTATGATTATGATTATGCTAAAACATGTAAATGATTACAATCAATTACAATTGTAATTGTAATCAGCCCCAACCATGGTCCATAATGGTGGTGATTTCAGTTTTACAACTACATCAAATCAAGAATAGATTATTCACTCTTAATCAAATTAAAGCACTGCAAGATAATTAAATCACTTCCTTTTATTACCGGCTGTCTGGCTCTTTCTATAGTATGCAACTGAACATTTCTCTGCTGGTGACCACAAAAATCAGTTTCTTCTTCTTCATCTGACATTCCTTGCATAAATATTGCTGTCTACAAAAATACTGAGCTTATACATTCAAAGAGACAATTGTAGCATTGCTAATAAGTATAATAAGCATTAAATTCATGATTCATGTTGTTGCTTTACCTTGTGATCAGTTTCTCTTACACTTTCAATTGGCCTAAAATTATATACAATTATTCACATATCAATAAATTAAAAATGCTAATGAGTCTTAAAATACCAAAATTATGACAAATATTTTGAACAATCCAGCATACATATAGAGGCTCACACAAAATTAAATTTCAATTTCCTGTGTCAAATTGTATGCAAAGTTTCAAAAAATATTTGGTGTGTTATCTTCAATGATCACACCACTGTTAAAATTATAAATACCTTGAGCCAATACTTGCTATAAAATTCGTAAGTAGTTTATAGAGTCTATCAAAAAACTTAGTCTCCTCCTGCATAATTGTAATACCTAATGAATTTACAAGAACAAATGAAATAAAATAATGTAAATTAACTACAAAACCAACAAATGTAATGCTGAGCTGTTTCACTGCAATTGTATAGGAGTAGTCGAAAAAATTCAAAAACTTGAATAGCTATCTTATCTTTTGGATGGGCTAAAAAAGCAATGACCTATAAAAGTAAGAAAAATAGTAACATAGATAGAGAGATCAGAATAGTTAAAACATTCAGCTTTTAACCTTTTTGACTAATTCCAAAATCAGTAGGTCACTATCTATTCTAGGTACTAAATCACAAAGAATATGAAGTGATGCGAGGACAGCAAAATCAATATTAGACCGCTCATCTGATGTTAAGGGCTTCTGAAGCTGTTTGTATGAGACACTATTAAAATAAATGAATACATTAAGGGATGAGCCTATAAGCAAGTAAAGTATTATGCAAGACTATAAATACGGTTCTTGACCCAATTAACACACCCTTCTAACTGTTGCACTTCTACATGGCTTCCATAATCCTCCTGGTCAAGATAGTTGTTACTTTTGAGAGGTGTGTTGCAATTAAAAGTTGTATTGCTTAATACATGGTTCCTATTGAGTAAACAATGTGTAATCATTTATCAAGTGGTGCGTTAATGTTGAGAAGTAGATACAGATAATCTTGATGATGATTGTATAGAGCACCTCACTGAGCCTCATGATCACTCAAAAGTTATAAGAAAGTTTGGCTTCATCTTCATTGCTTAAAAGCTTTCTGTTAATTGAGAGTACCTTGCTTTTGTAGCAAGGTAGAATTTAAAGTTGTTAAAAAAATTGGACCAAAGACCATGTACTGTAGTACTAGTCTCGAGACTACTGTAGTACAGGATCTTTGGCCAAATTTTATCAAAAATTTAAAAGGGAATTTCACCTTTTTTATTATGTACTTATGTTGCATATATAGTTTGAGCTGATTCAAATCAAAATTGGATACTTAGGACATAATTGTTTTACTAAAGCTGTTCAAAAATTGGGTCAACAACCATGTAATATTATAGGGACTTTCATTAAAAAATGACACAAAGAAAGTTCTTTATTATACTACATTTCATCATTATACAATTGTCATTATTGACTAATATATGTATTAGTTATGTACGTCATTAAGTGGTATACTGACTTTATAAAATCTAATAGCTTTTCTGCTTTAATGTTAAAGTCATACCCAGAAAAAAGCACAAGTTCCTGAAAACTAGTTCGTGTAAAATCTTCATGATGAACTGTATAAAAGTGAAATAAAACTGAAACAACAAGAAATATGACAATTGATATGGAAGAGTATACTGTATCACAATTGGGTCAAATACAAACAGTATTTGAAAATTAGTTCCACTTAAATACTCATAATAGTATTGGTAATTGTATTTGTAATTTGAGTTTTCATAACAGGAAGTATTTGTAATTGAAATACGTACAGCATAAAATTATTTCTAATACAGCAAAATAGTTTCAAATATTAAAAAATGCATCATCAACACTATAGAATAGTTAGCACCAAAAATGCATCATACCATATGACTTATACAGTATTTGTATTTTCATTTAAATTTCATGTTGTGCCGTATAGTGGAAAATTTAGGCGGGAGTTAAATTTGGCAAATCAATAAATTTTGGCAAATATCAGATTTTAATTTTGCAAATTTGTGGCTACATGCCATTGAGCATGTGCATTATGGCTAAAAATGGTGGATTTTTATCGTGGCAAATGGCTATCAAATACCAAAATTTGGCAAACTAAATTCTCTCGCAAAATTTCCTGCTTGACAGTATTTGACCCCTGTCTGTACCACATAAAACTTTATGTCCAAGTAGCAAAACTTAAGGGATTAGTATAAAGCACTGCTAAAAAATCCAATCCCCATCAAAGGTATAGTGCTAACATTGCAAATCTGCTAAATTAAGCTATTTCGACATAAAATTCATTTTTATAAATCTGTGAAAGTTTTACTCCTCTAAAATAAGCACTATATGGTATATGAGCAAAAGGGTAAAGCCCTCCATACACTAGGCAACATGTTGCTAGCAACTTCTGTGGTCACTTTGATCTTGTGTCTAAAAATAGAATTCTGTTCTATTTTTGGAACAAGATGATTACAAGATCAAAGTAACAACAGAAGTTGCTAACAACATGTTGCCTTGTGTAAGGAGGGCTTAAGAGAGAAAGGGTGAATAAGAATAAGAAAAGGAACTTACAATTCTCTTGATCAGTTTTAGCATTGCATTCATAAGCAGCTTTAAAATTATGAATGAAAGTTTGGAAATCATCATTCAAACTTATTTCATCTGCCAAATCTTTGCCCACATTTTTCAGATCAGTACTAATATAGAAATCTTCATTAGCTAACACAGTTTCCCTTACCTATTACAAATACAAATATTCAACCATTACTTCATATACATCTTATGCTACACACATATAATTTGTACATACATCAAGTTGCATGCTCTTGTATTATGCACCCTACTACCTATACTTACTGCATTCAATTGCTCTTGCCAGCCTTGCTGGTCAATAGGCATCATATTGACAACAGAATCAATGAACTTGGTCCAGTACGGAGTCATTTCAGGCATGGTAAAAAAAGCTTCTGGATGTTGTTGTATTAAAATCTATACAGTACATTAAAAGAAGTGAAAAAAGATTTTGCAAGATAACAATTAATTAAGAGATGATTGAGATCTAACTCACTAAAAGTGAGTCAGTGAATTTTTTTAGTACAGTAACATTAGGAGCAGTGAGCAAACTAGAAGATGGCTGATCAGGCAGTTCACTACTGTAATCTATACACAACTGTGAACAGATTGAAGTTACTAATGGAATTAGACCCTCAATTAAGTAACTTAGCAATGATGATACTAATATAAATTTTCCATTGTATTCCATTACATCATCAAATTCTTTCTTGTTCCTTTCCTCTAATTCCTGTTATAAGAGATTTTTACATAAATAACTTATCAAAAATATTCACACATTGTGCATTCTTTCTTTGTCTCTCTCATTCTCTTTCTTACAGCAAAGCTTGAGTGCTGACTGAACAGGATGCGAACTTTGATTTTCACGTGATTTAGCTCAACATGATTTTGTGATAAATTATTATGCATCATTTTCACAAGCTGAGCACATTCTTCTAGGTGACCCCAAAAAGCACTGCAATATGTAACAAAAGCAAACAAATCACTGTTTATTTCAGGTTTCACCATTGCACTGTACCTTATTTTTGATAGCTCTGCAATAGAGAGAAGAGACTCTCTCTCTGTATTTATGTAACCTTCATTCATTATACGAGCAAAAGGTTTCTTATTGTGAAACTTAATGTCAGGGTTAGACATAACACTACAAAAACAATTAGGCATATGTTTTTATTGTACAGACAATTGATTTTGAGAAATAAATTGCAAAATTTTTTTTAAATAATTTTGTTTGCAGGTTAAATCTTTGCTGCTTGACAGTTATTGTAGTATAATGTACTATAGTGCTTTGTGGATTTAAATTTTGCATTTCTAATTCATCTGCAAACTCACAAAATTTAATTCTCAATAAATATTTCTAGTTGTATGGTATTTTGAAATAACATAACTTGAAAGTCATTAAAAGCACAATATTTCAGTTGTACATGTATAAAGATTATAGCAATTCCTAACTTAAGTCTGTGCTAAACCCAAAATACAATTATACTATTATTAACAGTTAAAACAATGATAAAATAATTAGGAACAAATAAATAAATTGTATTTCTATACTGGCATTTACTTGACTAAGTCATCCAATGAAAATATATCTTGACAAATATCTTCAGCATGTTGACATGGTCCTTCAGCTACGCTTGCCAGTAAATCTGATACTGCTAATAGCTGCAAGCATTTATAATCACAAGTCTAATAGAGAGAAAAATTTAGGGAAATAGAAGAAAGGAAATAAAAATAAAGGTAGCAAGCATAGATGTAACAAGTTGCTGAACATGTAAAAAGTGATAATTACATCTTTCAGTGCTGTTAATCTTTCCTCTTGTGTACTTTTCAAAAGCAACGGATAAAATTGCTCCTGAATATGTTTTAAGACTACTTTTGCAATCAATGTTTGATAATTCTTCATCAAAAGTGGTACACCATTGTCCAACTTACTCCATTTATAAGGCTGAGAATAATAAATGCAAATTTTTATCATTGCAATTGTTGATTTGCTTACTTTAATGATAGTTTCTAATGTAGTAAAGAACTCACAGTGCTCAACATTACTAGAGGTGGCAGCTACCATGTATAAATGAGTTATGGTGCCCTCTGAGAGCTGGAGACACAATAAATGATTACCTGAAAGTGTCTATACAAAAATGAAATTAATAAAAATAAGGTTAATTGATACACTATTATACTTCAGTCATGAGACGAGCTAATGGTGCTATAGCGATTCTAGCATCAACGAAATCAATAAACTTCAGAAACAGTTTACTTTGAACCTGCTGACAGTAAATATATTAGACAAAAGAAGTAAATCTATACCTGGTGGTTTCTACGTGCAATTGCCTGCAAACAATTACAAGACAACTTCATTAAGGGAACTTGCTCATTGGAATCAGTAGAGTAAAACAACTGGATATATTCAAATATAGCAGAAAAAGCAACTAAAGTAAACCAAATAAGAAGAAACAAGTGAAGTTATACTTCTTAAGAGGCACACTGAGATCGCAAATAAATATGACATAGTCTCACCAGCACTAAAAACAATTTTCTGATAATAACTGTGAGGTTGAGTTTCATCACCATCAATCATACACTTAATCTTAGTGTCATTTAGAAAACTTGCCACTTTCTCATGTACTAAAATAATAATAAATTAATAATAACGATATCCTACTAAATAGCTAAATAAAGGTTACATCTAAAATTCAGATCTATTTGTGTATATTTCTTAATATAATTGTTGTTGCTGTTGTTTGTTAACAAAAATACATGTAATACTGTAGGGTGCCTTTTTTCAAAACTGTAAATTTCGCAAATTGGCCTAAAGAGCTATTTCGCGAATTTAATTTTCGCAAATTTATGCCGTCTGCCATCTTGAACTGTGATAATTTGATTTTTGCAGAAGTAATTTTTGCAAATTTTCAAAAAATTGTGAAATCCACAAAATTTACAGCCCTAAAAAAGGACCCTATGGTAACAATGAATAATCTAACATGTCAATATAATCATAATTATATATTTGACCAAGTTGATCAGGCACATACTGTATTGCCACTAGAACTGACCTGGTCCTTCAATAGCTTGTCCTTGTAATAGTTTCAATAACACTTTTTTTGGCTTTTTATCATGATTATTTAAGGAGCAAGTGTCATCAATATCAGAAGAGCAAGTGTCATCAATATCAGAAGAGCAACTATCATCAGGATGCTTATCATCAGAAAAGCAACCATATTGTATCATCAATTTAGAGAACTCTTTTGAGCAATCAGTAGTGATTAAACATGATGTTTCTGCATTACGAAACAAAATATTTTCCTTCTAATTTAATGAAAAGTATAAAAAATAGAATGTGAAATCAATTATAAATTTATAAAAAAGCAGTGTAGAAAATAGATGTAGATATTAATTATGCATGCATATGCAAAATGATATAGGGACAGAGTAATGGTAGCAGTCAAGTGAGAAAGAGAGGAAAGAAATAAAACAATAGAGTGAAAGTCACAAACTTGGAAAATATCAAAGAGCAACAAAGCACTTGATAGCCTCAAATCATAAATATCATACTTCATTAGATCAATAAGTGTTTCAACAAGATTTTTTCCATCTTCTGTAGCAACATCAAAACAAACATAACCATCATTTTGGAATACATATTTCAATCTAGAACAGGCTTGAGTAATTGTTCTATTGCGATATGAATAAAAATATTAATAAAAAATAGTTTTCTAGATTTACTATGCATCAAACTTATACATTTTCACACTGCTACGCATACATCTACCACAAGTATAATTATTATAACGGTGTTACTGCAGTCCATACATGTACATACACACAAATTAATTTTTGTCATTGAGCAAAGTTATGCCTATTCAGCATGCATGTACATTTTTAATTACAAGCTTAACCACTGTGCAAAGACAACTATATACATGTACAAATGTACAGTACATGTAACTGCATATTTTCACAGGTCACTTTAACTTCAAAATTTTGATCAATTCACGAAAATTAATGTTAAATTTACAAAAAACTGGGCCCATACGGTAATATAGTGTACTACTTTTATGATAGAGAATAGCATTCACTGTTAAAGCATACAGTCATTAGGCTGTAATATAAGCATTACTTGGGTGCTTTTTTACGATCAACGTCAATCCAATCACTTTGCTAATGCAGAATGCAATTTTTGTAACCAAAAGGTCATTCCTCCATAACAATTTATGGTCTTCTTAATGTAGACAGCTTACTGTTCATTCAGTTGGTAGTCAGGTACTTGTTGTGAGAGAAGTGCTGCAAGTGATTCATTCACTGGCAGATAGCTATAGCGAGATTCAATTATTTCTTCTACATGCAAGTCTTTTCTTAACAATTTGAAGTCATATAAAAATCTCTGTTAAAAATAAAGAACAATAACTTTTCCATATAAACATATACATTATAGTAACCAATTTCTATCATGCATTACCATAACTACAAGAACTACAAAACTATCAAAGCTATGCAGCAGCCATTGCCATGCACAAATCATTATAAAATCCTCTCATCAATAGATTAGATACATAATGCTCTCAGTAAATCTGAAAAGCAGTTTATAATGCTAAAAATAATTTGAAAATGATGTTTTTCCTCAAATTTTGCAATCTGGCCACTCAATTCAAATCATGCAAGCTGTGATAAGATTGGGACTAACTGCTAATGCAATGTAGGATAACATCTTGAATAGGAGGTGAAGACTGTGAACAGCTCTTAAGAAAGATTAAAAAGGAAACAGTGAAAGAAGAAAACAGAAAAAAGAAGGGCATTGAAAAAGAACAAGATACATACATGTACACTTACTTTCTTTTCGCACATAAGACTTTTTGATTATCTAAAAAGAATAAAACGAAACACATTGCTACATTGTGCATGGCCATATGCCACCGTGATATAATATCAAGGTAATTACAGTTTACAATTTAAAAAAATCAAACCAAGAAAGCACATAAAGCTCTGTTTAGCCAAACTTTTTGTTTTATTTTATTCTTTAAGCTTAAAAGCATGCCAAAATTGCTTCAAGTAAAATGAGCGACCATCAAGGGAAACGACTAAATTTTGAAAAAAGCAAAGGCTATAGAGCCCATAGATTTACAAAAATGGCTTCAAGAAATTTCTCCCACTTTCTATTACATTTTCTGACACATATTGATGTCCTTTATGCTATCCATAAAGTTTGAACAGATTTTGACAAATATTTTTGAGTTATGAGCAACTTTTTAAAAGTGCCAAATTTTGAAAACTGCATGGTGGTGAAAAAAAAGATTAATATTTACACTTTTGATTAATTGGCTTGAAATTTTAGTGCATACATTAGTTTTCTCAATGACTTACTAGACTCTTTGCTAATAATATCAGTTAGGAATTTTGCTACATCTGTAGGATTGTTCCAGTAAAATCCATTTAAAATTAATGGTTCCAAAACTGATAATACTTGACTCAATACTTCAATGTTACCTTCCATTAAGTAATTCTCCTAATGTCAATAAAAAATAAGAAATATCAGAAATACATTATTACTAATGCTAACTTTTGGTTGCCTTAAGCCCAACACAACACAAGTAATGAGGTGGAGTTTTTGGGAAAAGGGGAAATAGTTGCAGTATGCAAGCACTCAGTTAAAATTTTGCAAACCTATGGCCCAAGCCCGTTCAGCATAGTCACACCTGCTTCAAATATGGCAAGCTTTCTGGATGGTGATAAGCAACATGAATATTTTTAGATTCATAATAGCATTCTAAAATTGCTTTTTTTCAAAAAGCATATTTTGTTAATTTTAAATGTTGATTTAAAATGGGGACAACTGCCCTTCACTATCTCCATGCAGCATACCATATAGCACTTTATTTTGGAGGATCAAACTTTTGCTGTTTTCACAGGCTAGTATGCTGCAGCAACATTAAAAATCTGCTAAATATTCAATTACCATTAAAGGGTGGCACTGTTCTGCAAAAAAAATTTGCTATATACGGCAATACAGTATAGCCAAAAAATTTCGTGAGGAATAAATTTTCGTATTTTTGTGATCACTGTTTGCATCACAAAAAATTAAACCCCCGAAAATAAATATTAATTGAGAGGCATGGTCAACCACACCTTACTAATAAATGTGCCCTCGTGTCAATTAGCGAGTGTCAAGTCGTGTTTTCGGTCAAGCTGATGTCTCTGTTACTCTGTATTGCTATTTTAAGCATACTGCCTTCCCATCACTGGTGTCCACACTGATTTGTAGACATGGTGCCCCTTGTCACAAGAGTCCGTCTCAAAATATTGAATCTGCCATGTTTTAATTAAATAAGGTGTGGTCATTATTATTATTAAAATAAAATCATGAAAATATTTATCACGGAATTTAAAATTTCTCCATAAATTTTATTATTCACGAAATTTTAAGCCTCAAAAATTTTTGGCTATACGGTAGGTATTTTTGTGGGTCTAACAATTTGTGGCTTGCTCTTAGTGGGTGGGGCTTCAGAAGCAAAAAACAATCTACAAATGCAAACAACACTGAAGTTCCTAACAAAGCAGCAACAGCAATAATTAATACTTCACAAAAAACAAGCTCACATGATCCATTCAAACCATTATCAACTGGCAGACATGTGACTATATGATTGGATTTAAATATATTAGGGTTTGGCAAAAAATGGCCCTTTTTATATTTTTCTAACACTCCAATATGTCATATCACAAAATACCATATATTCTGTATTAAACATCTGGGCATACACTAATAATAACCATTACTAATCCAGTAGCATACAAAAAATTGACAAAAAGAGGTGTTTTTTGTCCTTGACAATTTATAGACATGGGAAAATGTGTTTTCACTCACATATTTAAAGTTCTTCAAAAAAGATTCTATACTTGACTGCACTTTTAACACTTTTGATCCATCAGATACTAGATCATGTCTATCAGCTATACATGCTGTCTTCAATGAATTTTCAGATACCATATTCCAATGCTAAAATAGAAACAATTAAACACCGCACACAATTAAACAATTGTATAGCTAAAAATTTTGTTGTCCAATTTTTCAAAAATTGTTAGTAAAATTTTTTTTGCTAATTTTTTAAAGATTGCCATAAAAATTAAAACTTTGAAAGGTTATAATTTTTTCAATTACTATAGCAGAAACTTTGGGGCCACAAAAATTATAACGACAACATGGACTTTTCTTAATTTTTCATCATAACATACATCGAAGACATGCATTAGTTACATGTATATATGCATGTAGATAGCTTATACACAGCATTTGATTCATTCATTTACTCACAAAGATATGCCACATGTTGTCCACATCTGCTTTACTTTCTTCTACATTGGGATCAACATAGACAGAAACAACAAAGCCAAGATAAGCTGATCGTAGCAGAGGATGAAGGTTATAGTTATTAATTAAAAAAAGAGCTTCTTCAAAAGTAACTAGCTTCTGAATATGACGAATACATTTAATGTTTGCACCCTTCAGAAGTAAAAAAGAAAATTAAGATTAAATTAAAAATTCTTAATCACTTAAATGGGGCAACATCCTCAAACACCCTATAAACACTACTGCAATTATAAAAATATCTTACTTTGCATATTCGGCTGAGTAGCTTTAGTTGTGCAATAAAAAAGACACAATTTTCCATGTGAATTGAATACTTTTCCTGTAAATATCCAAAAATAAAGCATGCACACATTAAAATTACTTTTGAGCAAATGTCAGACATTAGACACCCAGCTATCTCTGGTGGACCAGTGAATCGAATATTAGTTATAGCACTATCTTTTTCAATTACTTCAGTATGTATAAAATGGTCCTGTATATAATATTTATATATTTATAAAGAAAGAGCTATGTACATGTATGATTGTGCCTTGCACAATTTAGAGCATTATACATGCAGTAAATGAATGAAGCTCATATTGAAAAAGTGAACATAACTGACCTTTGTAATGATCTTTTCAAATATAGCATCTACATGTGCAAGTAACAATACAATAACAATATAATTATAGAATATATGGCACATACTCTGTAATACTTGATTGGGCTTTCCAGCAGTAACACAGAGTGTACTTAAAAAATCAAGAATTGATGTATCCTATAAAAAGATAATGCCACACATAGAGATAGTGGAAGAGACGTAGGAGAAAGGTAAAGGGTCAGGAGAAGAAAAATGAATTACCATGTTTTTATTAATTTGATTGAAGACAGATGTATTTTTTGCAAATTTATTCACCACTTTAGCAGTAACAGTGCTTTAATGTATGTGGGAGTTAAAACAAAAAATATACAAAACATAATGCAGGTACAAGTAAAATTATTAGTTCAGTAACTAGTCTAATATTCCCTTTTATCATACTCTGCATATGCATGCTGTATAGTACATGACTGCAAAATTGGCAATAATTATATACTATATCGCACAAAAATTTGGCAGAGAGTTAAATTAGGTAGATTGGCATTTCAAGATAAAACTGCTAATATTATAACCATCAATAATAATTGCAATGATAGGCATATTACATAATGAGCATATATGATACTAAAAAAAGCCACAATGGCAGTCTTTTTCACTATTTCAGTCAAGACTGTGGGTAAGGACTGCCAAAGGAGCAGCCATGGCAGTCTTTTTCACTATTTCAGTCAAGACTGTGGGTAAGGACTGCCAAGGAGCAGCTTTAAAAAGAGGTGAGAGTGCTTAAAGAAAAGACAAGATAGTAAACCACCAAATTAAACGACTACAACATTATAATATTTAGGCTTTTTCAATGCAAAACCACCAAAGGTTTAGATCGCCAATTTTCTAGCTACATGGTATGTAAACCTGCAAATTGGAGAAATCACCAAAGAAATGTTAAAATTATGACTTGTAATTATTTGATGCACTAGCTACTATGCACATCAAACAAAAATACATTTAATGTACCTTTCAATTTCAACCAAACTACTAAGAACCTCCTCAACACCAATTTTGTGATTTATCTATAATACATGTAAATATAATTATTAATCATTTCGTAGAAACTATAAATGTACTGTAAAACAACACAACAAAAACTACCATTACAGACAGTTCAATAATTATTATAGCAAACCTGTTTAAAAAGAATATCTAAGAATCTATCATTTGCAAGATAACGATGATTTTTTTTGACTGCAGGATCCAAGAAAGCTTGCAATACAACTGATATTTTTCTTTTTAAGCTAGCAATAAAATCCAAAAAACTGACTTCCCTTTATTCCCCTTTACAATAACTTACTCTTTGTGTGGTACATCATAGAAACAAAGCAGCAAGTCGACACCCTATCAGCATAAAAACAGTAAGTCTTAATTTCTACCCATTCCCTCTCAAATTTTCTGTTTTATTAAAAAGCTAATGTACAATAATTCAGAATTTGGAAAATACTCTTCAACAAAATTAAACTTTGAATATGCCTGCACAATGGCAATACACTTGAGAAAAATATTATCAGTTTACATAATTTCCTTTTCTACTGTACCTGTGACATTCTGAGCATATTTGCTCTGGCTACTGCCCTTCCTTCCACATTCAACCATTCTAATAATCTGTTTAATACATCAAGTGGTTCATCAAATGAAGGAGGAGTTGAATCATCCTTGAACTATGGTTTAAATACTCACACAAAGACAAATAATGCATAGTACCTTTTGCAAATAATTTTTTAATACAGCAATAACTCCTGACATGTGATAGCACTCATGAATAAAATCAGGATTAACCTATGATAATTAATATTTTCACCAATGATAGCTACACTGATGTAAATAACAATATTATTTGTATGACACATAAAAATAGGATCAAGATAACTGAGGATTTAATACCATGGAAAACTTATCATTTTCACTTTATACAAAGAAAAAAATTAAATTTTGCCTACCTCTTCAACACAAAAGTATTGATGATTATCTTCAAGACCAACCTATGTACGCAAAAATTTTATAAGAGTAACAAGACACTATTGGCGCTTGGCCAAGCTTGCAATTGCATTTAAATTAAAGAATTGATATAAATCAGACTCAATAAGAATTGATAAAATTTGATTTTTATTACTATGTCATTAATTTTGATTTGTTCAAAAACAATTGTGCTAGAGGACTGACAATGTTAAATTACTGTCATATGGCTGATGTATTTTAACAATATTCAACCATATAATACATGTACTTTGGGTATTTCTGTTGATATCAGCCCTCAGCTTTGCTTCAGGCTAATTTTAACTACAAACATGTGAAACCAAGGTCACCACTATACAATAAAGCATGACAATTATGGTACTTAATAATGTATTAAGTTTATTGATCAGTAATGGCTTAAGAAATGGTTGATATCACTTCAATGCATATCATATAACTATACCTTCAGCCACTCAGTATTTCCCATGGATGATGGTCCACATTCATAAATAATTGCTAAAAATTCAAAAGTACACTAAATGGTCCCAATAATAATAGTGAGACAGTGACATTAATGATAAAAAATAGATTTAATTCTGGACTAATGAGCATGCAAAGAGAATAAGAATGATGTACATACAAAAACATGTATATGTAAATGACATGCATGTATCTTAAAATTCTATATTGACCAAATGTTGTCTATTACAGACAATAAATATTATTTTTACTATTCCTTTATGGTAAAGCTATTGACTGACTAAAAATAGTTATGGGATGGACTTACTTGGAATTGATATTTTTTTTCCCAACTTATTATGTTTAATTTCAACACAACTACCTTTAGTTATGCAGCCTTCTTTCTAAAAATGGTAAAGATTGAGGATAATTATTTAAAGTAAGACATACTGTAAAACTGGTTTATTTTGTGTGAAATTAATTTTTTTGCAGAATCAAATCTACTAAAACTAATTCTGCTAAATTTCCTTAATATCAATTAAAATTACAGAACATTTTGTAAAAAAGGAAAATTAATTCCAACAAAATTTAAAAAATGAACAAATGAACTTACCCCCAGCACTGGTAATAAACAGAATTGTGTTTCATCCTCAATCATAGCAGCCTCTAATTTTTTTAGTGATACATGCACCTAGAAGAAAAAGGAGAGAGTGAGGAAGACAGGGAAATAAGACAGAAGGGTCAAAAATAAAACATAGCAGAAATAAATAAAACATGAATGCATATACCTTTTCTTGCTGTGTCAGTGCCACTGACAGATACTGCCCTGTTAGCAAATGTTTAATACGACAATGGTCTCCATACTCAAAATGATCACCTATAACAAATTTACAACTACTATTAATTGTTTTATATGTAAAATACATGTATATGTACACAAAACAAATTTTATAAAGTAAAAATAATATACTTTTAAAATTTTATCATAATTTTATTATGCAAATGTTCATGCACATATGATGAGATAATTATGGTCTTAAAGCAAAGACCAAAGATCATTTCTAAGATTGAATTTAACTTTGACAATAGTAATTATACTTGGTGTAAATGACACTGTATTTTGGAGTTCAATAATTATTTGTATACATTAACCTATGTAGCTATGCAAAATGGTGATAAATTAGGAATATTTTACATGCATAACCATATGTCACATACATGTAGCATAATATGGACATCAACATAAAAATTGACAATATTTGTATACATAATAATAGCTGTACACAAAACTCTTGCATATTTCATGTTTTTCAAAAATGAGGTAAATTGACATACATGCAATTATCATGAAATGGCTCACTATTATGTGGTGTTTCAGCTTTCTCCAGCTGCCAGTAACAGTTAAAAGATAGTGAAGGAGCTTTCTGTATTCCATGGACTAATTTTTTTTGTCTTGCTCCAACTACAAAAACCATGCAACTTAAAAGCTAATCCCAAAATTTGTTATATATTTATAGTTTTATTAGATATATACTGATAGGGCTCATAGGAGAAAAATTAATGTGCCACTAATTGCTTATTTAAGTTTATAATTACACATGTACATGTATATGTATGATATTACAGATGTATATAATATAACACTCCATTGAAGTGTGTAATTAAGGTCAAGGGCAAGATTAGTATGTAACCAATTACTGTTTGCCTTGTCCTTTGCCATTTTTACAATTGTTTTTACATGTGAAAACTACTGCGCAACATGCTCAATAAACTTTTAGACACACATTCCATATAAAATTGATGTGTGGTTTTCTCAGAAAATAAATCAAAAATACCACACTGATTTAGTGTACATGCATGAGAGTATATGCACATACATGTACCTTCTGTAACAGTATTTTCTTTGATTTCATCATAAAATTCACGCCCAGCAAGATAACTTTCACATTTGTGATTAAACAACATCACAACATCACAACCCTACATGCATACATATGTAGTTGTGATGAACAAATTATAAGTTATTTGCAAGGCATACTCTCACTGCTTTGTGTGGTAGTGTCATATTATTTCTTGATTGTAATGAGATTTCAAATATAGAATGTGTGGCTGCCACTTTAAGTTCATACCTACATGTATATACAGAATAATGATGATTCAAGCTTAGAGCTGACATGTTGCATCAATTGTATAGGCTTATTGACACATTGGTTTGCCCACAAGACCAATCTGGCCTGTGTATTGCATACGGTATAGACAAAGCTCAAAAGCAATGAAAAAACACATATTGGTAATCTAAATTAGAAACCAATACTGTGGCCACTGAACTAAACAGGCCCTTACGCTGTAACATAATACTGGCAAGAGTACATTGGTAATATACTCATACCAGCTGATGCATTATTGTAAGAGTGCTGGTGTAAAGTTCTTATTACCTTGACATAAGTGGATTAAATGCACTAAATACATAATGCATTTTGTCAGAAACTGATTTAAGTTTTATCTTATCCAGTGACAGCACCTGAATTTTCAAAATGTTAATTTTTATTTTAGTTTAATTTCTTTTTTTCATTTCTTTTTGCTTACATCTTCTCCTGCATGCTTATTGGTTTCAGAAGGAAGTATGCGAAACACACAAGTCTTTTCTTCAAAGTCTTCTACCAATTTTACCTAACAAAATAATGAATATATGATGCACTGCATAAGATGAAATTATGATAGAATTGAGACACTATAAAACTAATGCCCACCAGTCATTGACCATTGTAAATTTATCACTTAACAAAAACTATAAAACTACAACAAGATAAATACAAATTATACAAAAATTAAAGAATAATTTTAGGCTGTTCACACTACTCTATGTTAAATGTTAAACATGGCATAAATCCATTAATTGATTAAATAAGAATCAATGCAGCTTCATAATTATTAAAATTTTATAAAAAGTTTTTGCATTGAAATGAAAATAACACAAATATACCACAAAAGTAATACGGTAAGCCATTCCAAAACATAAAACTAGTAACTCTCACATTTTTTATTGTGCTGTTTGAGGATAAATCAACAGAAAAGTACATTTTGGAAGCAACATGAAGAAGCTAAGAACATACAAAACCATTAGAAATAATTGAATTAAATTCATGTCAACTGTACCTTCACTTTTCTTCCATACACTAAACTGCAACATGGAAAATCTCTACTCTAAAACATGAAAATCAAATATTGCAAATTTGAAATGATAATTGCATAGCAGGAAATCAAAATAGCATGCATAGTAGGAAATCAAAATAGCCTCCACAAAGGCATGGTCAAATTTCTATTTTTACCATAAAATTTGTCATGGCTTAAGTTTGGTAATTTATATCAAAGTTACTGAGAAAAATTATTACTATTATTAGTATTATTATTATTGTTGTTGTTACTTCTATTTTTTTTTGTCTTGACATGTTTTATGACAGTATTTTTGTTGTTGTTTGACATTGTAATAATAATAATAATAATTAATAATGATGATGATGATTTTATGATTTAGTCTAGATGATCACAAAGTTACACATACCAATTGTGAGACTTCTGATACTTCTAATGGAGATGTTCTGTATAAACAAATATATGATGGTAGAAATAAAGTATTGTTTTTTTCTGCGCCTTAATTTGCATAGCCATGCAGACCATATCATCCATGTGGGTGAGTGGATATTGTGTCCAATCGTCTTTTCTCCTAAAAGACAGACAAGGCATTAAAGAAAAAAGTCATATTGCAGTCTTTTCTGTTTTCATTTAAACTCTTCAAAATGAAAAATTGAATTTTGATTTTAAGTTTTTATTTTTAATTTTCAAAAATTGAAAATTGAAATGCTAACACTGATCCAATTTTCTATTTACAAATGATATTGTTCATAACCATCTGAAAAATATTTCTAAATTTCCATTGCCCAATCAGACTATTATACAGATCAGATAACAAAATTAAAAATCCATTTTTTCGTGTCCTTTTTTTCATCAGATTAATAAAAAATTGACTGCACCCTTTTATGTTTATTTTTTTAATACCAAATTTTATGGGGGACAAGGGGGGCATGACCCCCTGAAAAAAACTAGCC